ATCTGAAAGACGGGTGTCAGATGTTTGGATAGGGATACAATTTTAGTACTTGCCACAGGCATCATTTTTCAGATACACCTCTGCTATGGGGGTTCCTTATATCCACTTAAGTAGTCTTAAGAACCTGCATGGCATCCTGGTGTGGCACTGTAGGATAAGCACTGGACCACAAGGTTGGTTTGAACTGCAAGGTCGGCAGTTCAAACTCACCAGCTGTTCCTTGGAAACGCTATACAAGGTCATAACGAGTTAGAAATGACTCCACAGCACTTAACAACAAGAAGAACCTGAATCAACGTTTATAGTGAACTTCTGTACCCAGTCTTTGTAGCCCACCACCTTAGCCACCTATGTGCATACATCCTATGCAGGTTTCCTCTACCCCCATTCCTCCCAGCCCCACTTTGTTTGACTCGCTCTCTTCTGACCTCAGTGAATGTTTAATTTATCAGTGATTTTTGCTGTAACTTCCTCTTTCAGATCTATAACGGTCTCTGCCTAAGGCGCTCTTTCTGGAAACAATATGTTTTCACAACCCCCCGCCCCCACCACCCCAGTTATAACGTATCTTTAAAGCTGAACAAATCCTTTGAATTACAATAAATAATAATACTAATAAAAAAATACAGCTCATCAGGACTGCAAAAAGTCTCATTAACAATCTGCAATATGCAGAGATTACACAACCTTGCTTGCTGAAAGAGAAGAGGACTAGAAGCATTTATTGATGAAGATTAAAGACCACAGCCTTCAACATAAAGACAAGAAAAATCCTCAGAACTTGCTCAATAAACAACATCATGATAAATGGAAAAAATATTAAAATTGTTAAGGATTTCATTTTACTTGGATCCACAATCAATGCCCATGGAAGCAGCAGTCAAGAAATCAAACAACATATTACACTTGACAAACCTGCTGCAAAAGAGCTCTTTAAAGTGTTTAAAAAGCAAAGATGTCACTTTGAGGACTAAGGTGTGTCTGACCCAAATCATGGTAATTTCAATGACCTCTGATGAATGCAAAAGTTGGACAATGAAGTAATTTGGCACTTAGGCTGTCCTCCCTGTGTCTCCTGCTACCATCATCTGTCCTCTGCTAACCTCCCTCTTGTATATTGCCTGCTCTGTCACCTATGTTAACATGTGTCTACCACCCTTTAGCCCATGAATAATTTTCCTTCCCCAAAACCATCACAAATTACTTCTTTTATCAAGAAAACTTTTTTTTTTAAACTTTCACATTGATCTCATATAGTGTTTGTCCTTTTGTGATTGACTAATTTCACTCAGCATTATGTCCTCCAGGACTCCTGGTGGTCTGTATAGAAGCCGCACCAGACTGCGAACCACAAGGTCAGCAGTTCAAACACACCAGCTGCTCCTCAGAAACCCTATACAGGGTCGCTGTGAGTTGGAACTGACCTGACGGCACTTAACAACAACAATGTTCTCCGGGTTCAACCATCTTGTGAGGTTTTTCAGAGTCATCCTTATTTTTCAATGTTTTGTAGCATTCCATTGTGTGTATGTACTAAAGTTTGTTTAACCATTCTTCTGCTGATGGGCATTTAGGCTGTCTCCATCTTTTTGATATGTCTCTTGTAGACAGCTTGTTGAAAGATTTGATTTTTCTTATCCATTCTGCTCTTTATGTCTCTTGACTGGTACATTTAATCCATTTATATTCAGTGTAATTATCAATAGGTATGAAATGATTATGTTGTCTTTTTTTTTTTTTTTGTAATGTGTCGTTGCTAGATTCTTTGTTCCATATAATTTTCTATGCTGAGCTCATTTTGTTTGTGGGTTTTCTTGTCATTTTAATTTCTGTTGTGTTAATGTTTACTAAATCTTTCTGATTTTCCTTTTTTTAAAATTTTGATGTGCAGGTGTATTATTTTTATTTTGAGTTACCTTGTAATTTATTAATTTCCACCCCCCCCTGCTTAAATTTATCTTGAAATCTACTTGACTTCCTTGCCATTTGTAAGTTCTGTACCTCCACTATTCCCTCTTTTTGCTTTGTAGTTGGCTTCCTTATACATTGATATCTCTGGTTCCCTATTTTCAGTCTTGAAGGTTTGCTTTGCTGTAAATACTTCTATATCTGAACTGAGTTCTGGGTGGTGTTGTCTTGTATGATAATCTCAGGTTGTTGTCTGCTGTTGTTGGTTCTCAGTCCAAAGAACACCCTTTAGTATTTTTTGTAAAGTTGGTCAGGTCATTACAAATTCTTTTAATTTCTGTTTATAAAGAAATGCCCTAATTCTACCTTTGTATTTGTGGGATAGCTTTGCTGGGTATACAATTCTTGGCAATTTTTTCTTTCAGAGTTTTGTATATGTCATTCCATTGCCTTCTTGCCTGAGAAATCAGAGCTTAGTCTTATTGGTTCTCCTTTGTAGGTAATCTTTCATTTTTTTCTGAGCTGCTCCCTGATTTTGGAAAGTTTGATTATGATGTCTTGGAGACTTTCTTTTGTGATCTATCCTGTTTGGGGTTCATTCAGCTTCTTGTATGCTTATCTTCTTATCTTTCATGATATTAGGGAAATTTTCTTCCAACAACTTTTTAGCAATTTTCTCTGTGCTTGTCTCTTCCTATTCTGGAATTCTGATCACCCATAAATTGTGCTCTTCATGGTGTCCCACATAACTCTTAGGCTTTCTTTTGATCTTTTGATTCTTTTTTCTGATTTTTCTTCTAGCATGCTGGTATTGAGAGATTGATCTTTAAGCTTGTTAATTTGGGCTTCCATTGCTTTGCATCTACTCCTTTGCCCTTTCAATGAATTGTTCATATCTGAGATTTTAGTATTAATTTTCTGGATTTCTAATTGCAGGTTTTGTATTGTTTCAAAACTTGCATTTATTTTGTCTATTGTTCTTGAAGTGTTTTTGTGAATTCTTCTAAATTTTTCTTGTGTACTCTCTACGGTTCCTTTGAAGGTACCTAGTTAACATTCTTTTTCAATTATTTCCATTACCTTTTCTTCTTCAGAAACATTTTCTGGCTCTGCTTCTTGGTTATTTTTTGAGCCATTCTCTCGTTTATTTGTGTGAGCTAAAATTGTCTGTTGTCTGTGAGGAACTGTGGGGTTGTCCTGTTTGTAAAAACAAGTAGTGCTGTTGTTGAAGCAGGAGGAAAGAAACCTTTGGTGGGCGCTTGCAAGCCAAGGCACTCATTCCGGAAGTACTTTGTGAGGGGCCTCGATACAGCTGGCTTCAGTGTTTGTTAGGAATCACATGGAAGCTTAGGGCAGGGTAAATGGTCAAATGCTGATCTGGTGGCTCTGCTGGTTTTGTAGGTCTGGAGCTTAGCCCACTTGAATCCAGGCATCAAAGCAGTGCAGCCAGCCCCAACTCACACTGGTGTGACTCCCACTCACATGGTTCCTAACTCCTGGAGAACAGGGTCTGGGCTGGGGGTGGATGAGGGTGGGAGCTGGCCACACCTTTCCTGGTGTCCACATGAATCTGCTTTGCCAGGCTTCCCTCCTACCAAAGCTGCTCACAGGATGGTCAAGCCAGCTGTTCACCAGTTAGTCTCCCTCTCTTGACATCCCTGCTTGGCCTCTTCTCCCAGAAAACACTCTATCCACCTCTCCTTCCTTCTGAAGTTCAGGGTGCCAGAATTTTCATTTGTATTTGTTTAATTTGGTCTCTCAAATCTTTGTTGTAGACGGTTAGTGTAGTGTGTCTACTAGTATGTCGTCTTGCTAGAAGTTGTCCATAATCTTTATGGAAACATATCATCAAGACTTTCTTTCTGGGTGGGTTCAGATTACCAACCAGTAAACGAGTAGTTCACAGGTTCACACCTCTCAGGGACTAATTCAGCATTACCAGAAAGGGCGATTTCTTTACCCTCTGTAGCTTACCTATCCACTTTATACCCACTGCTCTTTGCCCATCCTCCTGTCAGAACTTGTTCTCATGAAAAACTCTGATGAACTCATTTGCACTGGATGGAAACCACTGAAGATTACTTTAGATTTTTTTTTTTTTTTAAGTGAACCTGGGTGTTTTGTAGTTGTAGCTGTAAACAAATTAAGAACCCTCTGCATCTGATGCTAGACTATAAATTAAAAGAATCAATTCATTATTAAAATTCAAATGGCCATATTAAAAACAGAAAGTCAGTTAAATTTATCTAGTCAACGAGTTAAGAAATACTTTGATTAAAACCACACTGCAAAATAGAGAACTTCGATGGACTGCTTTAAACTCTAGACCTCAAAGGAAGGAAACCAACTAACCAATAAAGATAACTTGGGGCAGAGGCGGGAAGTTTAGGATCCATAATGAACTGGAGTTTACAATGTAATGATTCAGCATTGGGGCGGGGTGCTGTCAATTAAAACCAGACTTGGGGGATGGAGGTCAAGTGGCGTCTCATATGTAGTGTGGGTTGTTGTAGTCGTTATGGCTACTTCATGTGTGAGTCAGGGATAGAATGTGCTCAATGCCGTAAAAAGAATTCACCTCCACGAAAAACCCTGCGTCTAGTAGGGAAACTTATGGACTTTCTTTGCTTTCCACCACCACCGTTTCCTCCCGCCAAGGGCCCCAAGTTTTGGTCCAGATGGCTTTCATCAGCTACACTTTAATTGCTTTGAAAAACGAGCTGCTGCTCGGCCTTCAACACGCGGAGGAAAGTACTGGCAAGAAGCATCCCGTGTCTCGAAATTGGCCTCCATCACTACAACAGTTTAGCTTTTAGTATAGTTTCCTTCGCCAAGCGACCTCCAGAAACCCGCAGCAGCGCATCACCCGCCGGCCAGGGTGGGGTGTTTGAGGCGCAGCGGCGGCCGCGGCTGTGTGGCCTGGACGGCAGAGATAAGATCCGGTACACTGAGGGCTTCAGGTCGCGCCCAATGCCTACACCCCTCTCAGAAGCCCGACTCTACAGCCGAGCAGTGAGGCGGGGCGGGGCGGACACGCCACAGCGCGCGGCCAATCGACGGCCCCGGAGACTATTCAAAAGCCCGAGGAGCCAATGAGAGCCCTGGGCGTTCCCAGAGGGGCGGGCCGGGGAGGCGCGCGCCTGGATCGCGGGGCCGCGAGGCGCGAGAGCGCGAGAGCGCGAGAACGCGAGAACGCGGCCGGGTATCGTCGCGCGCGCGGAACCGCCGCCGGGTTGCTGTGCAGTCCACCCGGAGCCGTTCGTGTTCCTGCTGGTGCCGACGCAGGTGAGAGTCCTCAGCCCGCCCAGCTCGGCCTCGGCGCGGCTCCGAAGAGTCGGCGCGGGGACCCACTGGGGCGGCCTTCTCCTCCGGCGGGCGGACTTGGAGTGCTGGCCGGGGTCCCGGGCACGGGGTTTGGCGCCGGGCCTCTCCTCTGTAGGGTTGTGGCCGCGGCTGCGGAGGCTCGGACTGCGCCGCGCCGGCCCTTTGCGGAAATGGAGCTGCGTTTTTAAACTGCGGATGTTTCCCTCCATTTTATGTGTAGAATGCTGTCGGGAGGACTTGCGCGGCCGACCGGGCTAGCCCGACCCTTTGTCCCGCCCTGCCGGAGCCGCCCCCGCCCTCTCGGGGCGCCTTTTTGACAGATAAGTGCGTCGGCGGGGCCGGAACGTCCCGGGGGCAGGAGGCGCGAAGGCCCGGCGAGGCGGAGCAGAGTGGCGGGGGATACGAGAGCTGACTTTATTCGCGTCCTGCAGGGCCGTGCACTCGGCTGTGTAGAGTTCCCTCCCCGGCGTTTCCGCACTCAAGCCGAGCATCCGGATATGTGGGCAGGGCGGCGCGCTCCTGTTTAGCTTGGGCCTTTTTCAAATTTTAGAAGAATTAAAAAATTCTTCATCGGTAACCCTACTTCGCATTCCCTATAGGAGCCTGTTTCTAGCAGTTTCGGGGGTGGGGTATTTCATCACTTCTCGCCCCAGAGCACTTAGTTGCCGGCGCTTTGCGTAGAGACAGCAGACAAGCGCCGACGACGGGAGGGCTCAGCCCGGGAGCGAGGGTGAGGGGCTCACGTGCTCCCAGAGGCGCTGCTCCCAAGACTTAGACCTAGTCGTCGCATCCCAGGCCTCCAGGACCTGGCAGTCTTCTGGGGACAGTTATTAAACAAATAAGCACGTATGCCTCTGTAATTACTAATTGCAATACCTGCTGAGGAGAGGATATGGGTATTAGAGAAGGGGGCCTCATTGAGACGGGACATCTGGGCTGTAAGCTCCGCTGCAGTTCAGTTTCTGAGAGTGTCTGGGAGGAGTAAAGGAGTGAGTAGGAGGGCGAATGATGTTTGGCTTGGGTCATTCTGTCTTTGCCTTGGGCAGCAGAGGAGGCGATGGAGGGGGGAGTTTCTGTTTGCAGTTTTGCTTTGGTGGACTTTCCTGGGCTCAGGTATTGAAGGGAAGCAAACAAGCGTTCATTTGCGCTTCTGTCTCTTTGCCGTATTTGGGTTTATTTGGAAAAGTGGAGGTAGGATGACCAAAGACCGTTGTGACACTGTGGTCAGCAGAGAATGTTGTTAAGTGCCGTCGAGTCGGTTCCGACTCGGCGACCCTGTAGAGGGTTTCCGAGGAGCAGCTGGTGAAATTGAACCTTGCAGTTCAAACCGACCATGCAGCGGTTCACTGCACTAACCCGCAGCGTCACACCAGGACTCCTTAGCAGAGAATAGCAGCAGAGAATTGATAAACTGTAACCTAAGCCGAAAGATGCTCGAATGAAATGGGTGCAGTCCTGTGCCAGTTGACACTGAAGTTAGCAAGTGTATCCACTGCTTAAGGGAAATGAAACTTTGGTAAACCATTTTTTTTTTTTTTTCTGTGCAAACACACGTGGAGAGAATAGCCTTTCTAAGGGTAGCCTGTTCAGGTGTATCTTGTCCGTAAGGCACGGACACAGGTTGAGACTTTGTGTCATCCTGGCGAGCTCACTTTTACGGGAGATTGTTTGAGGATGGGATTATGCTGTGTCATCTTGTGTGTGGCTCAAGCAAAGTAGAGCAAAGTGTATCATCTGTGTGTGTGGCTTTAGCAAAGTGGAGATGCATAGATTGGATGATTGCTTCTAGGACATTTGTCTGTAACAGTGATCTCCTAAGGATGGTGCATTTGTATTGTTTTTCAACCATCATATGCAAGATCTTTATGGAATCCCAGCTCTTATTTAGCCTTTTTTTTTTTCCTTAAAGGATTAAGTTTAGAGAGCTAACAGATGTCTTAGTTTGCTTAACTCAAAATATTTTACTTATTTGGTAACAAAAAATCATTTTGCTCTATACTCAGTATTGTTGTTGTTGTTGTTAAGTGCCATCGAGTCGGTTCCGACCCATAGCGACCCTGTACAGGGTTTCCGAGGGTGTAAATCTTTACGGGAGTAGAAAGCCTCATCTTTCTCCCGCATACTCAGTATTGCACATAAGTAAATAAAATTCTAAAAAGGCAGAGAATCGATTGTTACAAAGACCTTTTTAAAATGTAGCTTAGCCCTTAGGTCCTGAAGGGGCTGTGTCTCAAAAGTTTGTAAAGAGTCGTTTGAAACTTGACCACATCTTCCTGTAGGGAAAAAAAAAATGGTGATGTATAGTTTTGCAGGCTGTCTTTTCTAAACACTGACTGATCGTGTTAAAGATCTAGTCATAAAAGTGGTTTGATTTTGGAGTTCCAAGGAGGAGGAGGGGCACAAGTAAAGAGAGGAAAGTACGTTCTTTCTTCTTTCTTAGTACTTGGAGCCTTTGAGCTAAATGTTGAAATAGGCAAAGCTTGCAGTTGTCACCTTCCCTTTTTGTGCCCTTCTCCACATCCTGAGGTGTCCCCTGCCCCCTTCCCCCTTCCGAAGTGCTCCTCAGGTGACTCCCAGTCACTGTGACATCCTCCCCAAAGCTCCTCCTGTTCTCACCACAACCCATTCATTACCCAGCAATGTTATCTCAGGTAGATGCTGGGAAGAAAGCAGTCTCTTTTACCTAATGTGTAAATTGACATTCTCTAATCAACAGATAAGTACTTGTGTTTTTCTTTCATCTGCCAACTTGCATACCATCTATCTAAACAACTGATGCTTGTTAAGTTTTTTTTCTCAGGTGATTAACAGTGAAGCAATGTGGTTCTTAGGAAAGACTTTTACCCCTGAGGGGTAGGAAATGCAACTTTCTCCTTTCTCAATTCCAGTCTTCAAAAGCTCTTCTAAAATGTGGTGATTATTGTTGTAGAATCTGCTCTGGACAGCAGCAGACAGTAAGGCGTGTGCATTTATATGTTTGGGTGATGTGTGAATTGTTTAGTGGGTGCACTGTTAAATGCTGTCTGCTTCTGCCTGAGTGATGGAGGGAGAGAGATGGAGGTCCTGGTTTTGTCATGGGGAAATGTGAATCTGCTGGGCAGTGGAGGAAATAGTGCCTTCAGAAACGTTGTGTCTTCAGGGAGTGCTGTTTACAAAAGTCTTCAACAGGCCAGGTTTTGATTCAGTGCCAAAGTAAGTTATGATTGAGGCTGATGCCTGTCAGAAGTTCGTGAGAGGCACTGGGTGGCAGGGGTGGGGGATTGGTACCTGCTGTCCAGGAAGATGGTTACCAGAGGAATTTAGCTGTAAGAATGAGAAGCTCTAAGAAAGAACCTCAAATTTGTTCATTGTAGATTTGAAATTATTTTCCATGTTGGTGGGTTATAGTGATGATAATACATTCTTGATTTTTAGGTCTGTTTCACAGAGTTTATACTTCTTAGTGTGTTATTAAGTACCATGGAGTTGATTCCTACTCATATCAACCTTGTATAGGGCTTCTAGGGCTTCTGAGGCTGTAAATCTTTGTGGGAGCAGAAAGCCTCAACTTTTTCCCTCCTAGTGGCTAGTAGGCTCGAACTGTGGTGCACAGTTCAGTGCTTATCCTACATAGCCACCACACTCCCTAGTTCTCTCCTCTCCATCTCTCTCTCCTCCCCCCCCCCCCCCAAGATGACAAAGAAAAGGAGACACAACAGTCGTGCCAAAAAGACAAGGCCATTAAGAAGTTCGTAATTCGAAACATAGTAGAGGCCACAGCTGTCAGGGATATTTCTGAAGCAAGTGTCTTTGATGCATACGTGAAACTGCATTACTGTGTGAGCTGCGCAAGGTGGTCAGGAACTGCTCTCAGGAAGCTCCGAAGGACTGAACACCCCACCCCGATTTAGACCTGCAGGTGCTGCCCTATGACCGCCACCAAAGCCCATGTAAAGAATTGAGCCCTTCAAAGGTTGAAGTAAAACTAACCTGCAATAAAATAAAATAAAATAAAAATTACACTTTGTGGGGGGGGGGGGAATATATATATACTTAAATGCATTTTTAAAGCCTTTGTAGACTGTATTGTTGCTGTGTAGGGTTTCCCAGGCTGGTGAGTTTGAACTGCTGACTGTGAGGTGAGGAGTTCAGTCTTTTCCTATAGTACCATACCAGGATTATATGCAGACTCACAAATCAGAAATGTGTTATGATTTTTTTTTATTTATGTAAATTGTTATAGTGCATTGAGATCTGGTGGCTTTCCTAGGAAGGAAGATAGGTTGTCTGCTCTCATAAAGATTTATAATTTGGGAAGCCTTATGTAGGGTCACTATAAATTGGAATTGGCTCGATGACAGTGGGTTTTGGTTTAATTGTAATTTGAGTGAAGGTTTACAGAGCAAATTGGTTTTCAGCAGGTCTCACACATTTTGTTTCCTGACACTGATTATAGCCTTCACAGTGTATCAGCATTCCTTGTACTTCCTTCCTATGTCTACTGTTACCATTTGCCCCTCTTTCCTATCCATGCCTGCCTTCCAAACTTTATCCCTGGGCTTGTGCCGCCCTTTTGATTTCTCATGGTTGATTAGTCTCAGGAGTGCATACCTCCTAGTGTTAATGCCCACCCTATAGGCCTGTCTACTCAGTTCCAGGCCTGTGGAGTGACTAAGGACCCTAGTCTCTGGGGAATCCCACCAGTCTCCATCAGACCAGTAAGCCTGGTCTTTTTCATGATGTTTTGTTCCACATTTTTCTCCCATTCTATCCAGGATTCTCTAGTGTGATCCTGTTAAGAGTGGGCAGCAGAGTGGTACTCGGGTGCTATCTAGTTCTGGTTTTAGGGCTGTGTTGTGATTTTTGATTTGCAAGAAATATGGACAGGAAGGTGTGTTTTGGTACCTGTTTGTGTTATCATTAATCCTTAGTACCACTTACATGGACCACAGTGGTTAAATTATCCTCTATAAAGTGATTTGAGATGTGGTATAGCAAACGGAACAGACGTCTGTGTTGTCCTGTGTGTCATTTTGTGCCACCTCCTTTAATGTGTTGGACAAAACAGTTAATGTGTGTAAGCCTCTGTTTTCTGTTTAAAATGAGGCCTATCTGGGCCTAAAATCTTGACCAATTAAAAATTTTGGAAAGTATATTTTAACAATTGGCCAGTGAAAGACAAAAGTAAACGTGTATGAACTGACTCTAAATTTTATTCTTTAAAACAGTTTCAGACTCATTTTAGAAAATGCCAAGTAGGAAATTTGCCGATGGTGAGGTGGTGAGAGGCCGATGGCCTGGGAGTTCACTTTATTATGAAGTAGAAATTCAGAGCCATGACAGCAACTCCCAGCTTTATATTGTCAAGTACAAAGATGGAACAGAACTTGAACTGAAAGAGAATGATATCAAGGTAAGAGCTTCTTTGCTTTGCCATTGGTGTGGTGTTTTGGCTCAGGGTGTGACAGTTCTGGCTCCTTTTGGAGGCAGAGTTCAGCTCCTGCTTTGTGCCAGATAATGATTTTGAATTTTGACTCATTAACCTGCCAAGAAGCTGGCAGGTTAATGAAGGCAGACAGTTACATAGTTAATTGACCTGGGTTTAGTTCTTTCTGTGATGGGGTGGTGGTGGAGGGTTGGTAAGGACACAGTGGGTTTTATGAAAGGCTCTCCAACGTTGGCAATTTTTCTGAGTAAAGTGACAAATATTTCAAGTGTAGTGGGCCATACAATCTTTGCTCACAATGCCTACCATGTTTTTATGTATTTTTAAAAATTGCTGGTTGGTTTAGACACTTTCATTTCATGAAAAAAGGCTGCTTTTGTCTTACAAAAGACGGCTTATTCATTGCTGCAGCATTTTTCAGTGACCTCCTCTGGTTGAGTCTCAGATGTGATGATTTTTGGGGCTGCCCTTAGAGCTAGTGATAGCCATTCCTGCCTGTGTCTTCTATAGCTCTTTGTTTCCTTCTCCCCCTTTAGCCTTTAACTTCCTTTAGGCAAAGGAAGAGTGGGTCTTCCTCCAGCTCTCCCTCCCGACGCCGAGGAAGTCGGTCTCGGTCACGCTCCCGGTCCCCAGGCCGGCCACCGAAGAGTTCCCGCCGGTCTGTCTCGGCTTCCCACCAGGCTGACATTAAGGAAATAAAGAAGGAAATCTTGGAAGTTAAATTGACTCCACTGGTATTGGTACTTGTGATTTAGAGTTCTTTATCCTAACATAGTAGTTGGCTTTCTCAAAAAGCTAAAGTGTTATGATCTTCCTCTTTATGTACTTATTTACTCAAATTATTTATTAATGTCCAAATGTCTTTGAAACACCACACAGAAGTGATGACTTTGGAAGATTGTATAAAAAATATTCAGAAGAATAGGAAATAGAATTTTGTTTTTAAGTATTAGTGAAAAATAATGTTTTCTAAGTTACTAGAAATGCTATCTAATAGTCTTGAGAAAGTGTTAAAATTTGAACTAGAAATAAATTATAGATTGAATTGAATCAGTTTTTAGTGTATAAGCAATCATGTATGAAATTAAGCCTATTACAAAAGTTTTTTTTTTTTTTTTTTTTTCCTGTCCTAAAGGGTTGCTATGAGTTGAACGGACTTGATGATCGTGGAGTTATTTTTTGGTTTTACTGTCATTGATTACTTTCTCTATTCAAAGATGAGGGTGTTAGTGAGATTGCTTTTCAAAGTATTGGTTGGAGAAGATGGGAGGGACTTGTGGGATGTCACAGACTGAGGGTTTTAGATAGTAGACCAAAAACAGACTGTCACCCTTAATTTTCTCTGTCCTGTAGATATTGTTTGTAGTTGCCCTTTTTAAGTTTAAAAATAAGAATGGCCTCCCAGTCTGTATTTTTCTGCATTATTTTTGTTGATGTAACATACTTTTTAATGTTGGCTTTCTTACTAATAGATACTTTTTTCTTTCTAAATTAACATTTTTATGGACAAATATTCTCAAGACCTAGAAACTAAACCCACTGCCATTGAGTCAGTTCCTACTCATAGCACCCTTGTATAGGGCTTCCAAGCAGAAAGCCTCATCTTTCTCTCAAAGACCACTTGGTGGGTTTGAACTGCTAACCTTGCTGTTAGCAGTCCAGTGTCACCAGCACCTAATTTTTTCATGATGATAGAGTCTTAAAAGTGGAATTGTTAGGCAGGTGGATAAAGCAGAAGGGAGACTTGATACATAACTATCAAATTGCTTTAAGAAAGTTTTATGCTTGTTTCAGTAGTACAAGGGGACTTTAAAAAGTTTGTGGAAAATGGAATGAAAAGATAATGAAAGTTTTCTACAGACCGTTTGAAGCCCCCTTGTATATAAATACTTATATTCTCATTCTGAATAGTATAATAATTTTTAGTTTGCCAATGTCATTGTCACAGTTTCAGCTTGCTGTTTTAATTTGCATATTGCTAATTGCTAGTTATTGAACATTTTGTGTACTACTGGGTCTCTTAAGGAGAGTAGTGTAGTGTTCGGGTAGTGTAGTAGTTACGAATCGGGCTGCGAACCGCAAGGTCAGCAGTTCGCAACTACCAGCTGGTCCGCAGGAGAAAGTTGAGGCATTCTGCTCCCATTAAGATTTACAGCCTCACTATGAGTCAGAATTGACTCCATGGTACACAGCCACCACTGGCTCTCTTAACCATCATTGGTCAGGTGATTTAGGTTAAGAAACAAGTGCTGCAGGCTACTTTTTTGGTTAATACTTTCATATTTAGCATTTAGTGATGATTATATTTTTGTAGTGTAACATATTGTAGTTTCGGTGACAGAAGAGCTCCTCACCAGTAGAGCCGTTGGCCAGCATGCATACATTGTGGGGCTGAGAATGGTACATTACACATGAAAGACCAACCTTAGGTTGTGTGTAGCTTTGCATATCACTTTATCATTTTTTTTTTTTTTTTTGATTCTCAGTTGTAATCTTTTGCAATAATTTGCCTCACTGTGTAAGTATCCTGTCACCGTAAGCTTACTCATTTAACGTAAGCGAACTGACTTAAAGTCAGCAAAGTTCAGGGTCGGTTGACTGTTATAGGAATATATTTGTGGTTACTATAGATAGTATTAGGAGTTCTGGTGTGGCACTGTGGGCTAATGCGTCAGACTACAAAGTCATTTGAAATGCAAAGCTGGTGGTTCAAGCTTACCAACTGCTCCTTGGAAACCCTATATAGGCTCGCTATGGGTTAGAATTGATTCAATGGCACTTAACAACAACATAGATATATTAGACTCCTGGTATGGCACTGTACAGTATGCACCAGACTGCTAACTGCAAAGCTGATGATTAAAACCCACCAGCTGCTCCTTGGAAACTATACAGGCCACTATGAGTTGGAACTGACTTGACAGCACTTAACAACAACATAGATTGTATGGTGTCCTGGTTTGGCACTGTAGTTGGTATAAACACTGGGCTGGTAACCGCAGGGTTGGCAGTTGAAACCCATCAGCTGCTCCTTGGAAAGCCTATACTGGGTTGTTATGAGTTGGAGCCAACTTGTTGTTGTTGTGTGCCCTGGAGTCGGTTCCGATTCATAGTGACCCTGTACAGGGTTTCCGAGGCTGTAAATCTTTACGGGAGCAGAAAGCCTCATCTTTCTCCCGTGGAACAGCTGGTAGTTTTGAACTGCTGACCTTGCGGTTTGCAGCCCTATTTGTAACTTGTTGTTGTTGTTAAGTGCCGTCGAGTCGGTTCCGACCCATAGCGACCCTGTACAGGGTTTCCGAGGGTGTAAATCTTTACGGGAGTAGAAAGCCTCATCTTTCTCCCGCGGAGCGGCTGGTAGTTTCGAACCGCTGACCTTAAGGTTCGCAGCCCGATTCGTAGCCACTACGCTACCAGAGACAGCAGTTAATCAACATGGATTTTATGGTTGTTGTTAGAGTGCTGTGGAGTCGGGTTCCAACTCATAGCAACCCTGTCTGTATAGGGCTTCTGAGGCTTTTTAAGTATTTGCGAGAACAGAAAAAGCCTCATGTTTATCCCAGATTGTATGGTGGACATTGTAAAGCTAGGAAGTGTAGCTTCTAGGGTGGCTTCATTTGCTGCTAAATGACTCATAGCTGCTTTAGTTGACTTAAGTAAATGTTGTGTATTACCACTGTTCAGTTAGTTCTTGATTTGAACTTCATACTGTACTTCTGCCCCACCAGGGTATACCTGCATTCTTGATTTGTTTTTCTCCTATTTATTAGAGCTTTTATTTTGTCAGTGACTAACAAAGGAGTAAAGTGATAGATTTTAACCATGTAATGCCTGAAAAATTTTTGCAAGTTAAAACACTTATGTTCATTCTGATAAGAAATCCCTTGTGTGCATTCAAGGCAAAAGATGGTATTTAGAGTGGAGACATAGAAAGGAAAAATTTGAGGTTAAATTATAACCAGGTAGCAATCATGTTCAGAAAACAGGAATTTTCTATGTTGTTAGTAATATTCCATAAGTAGTTATAATTCTTAATTTCCCACTATGAGCTACTTTTAGGACAGTGAATGTCCTTTCCTCTGTTTTAAATCAATTAATGAGATGACTTATCTATTTTTACTGTATCTGCCATTCATAGAAAATATTTTGAAGAGTATCTGTCATTGAACAATGAAATTAAAACATTGTCTAGTCGTTTTATTGGAAAGATGAAAGATCTTATATAGAAGTCTGTTCTGTAAGTAGTCTGAGAAATTCTAGTCACCTTTATTTCCCTTGATTTTTTAACAAAAATAGGCTGAAATTCTTCAGAATTACTCTGTGAAAATCTGTGGTGTTTTTAATTGCTTGATTTCCTGGTAGTCAGTTTTAATCACCATGTTCCTTTTTAATAAGTTATGGTTCTTAGAATAAAAATGTTTTCTGTTTTTCAACTTAGAAGCCATTTGGAAATAGTATCAGATACAACGGGGAGCCTGAGATCATAGAGAGGAACGATGTCCCTCACAAAAGCTTGCAGGTACGGAGCTGTGCTTTCTCATCACAGATAATTGTTCTCTTTGTTAAAGTGACTTTTCCTAAAGAGAAACACATTAAAAATGATAGTATTTTCTTATCTTTTAAAAAATTGTTTGTGTCCTTAAATTGACACTGTAACTTAAAAACTTATACTACTTATTGTTGAGAATATGTACAGCAAAACATACAGCAGTTAGTGATTTCTACATGTATATGAATGTAATTTAACAAATTTATTCTTATAGTAAACAGCAATACTGAGATGCTGAATAAATTTGTAGCATTAGTGATAATTGTTAATTACAGATATCTATTATTTTTTAACTAGGAAAAATTGCATTTGTCACAAGAAACTAGTTATATATCTACACAGTATAGCCTTCGTCCAAGAAAAGAAGAGATCAAATTGAAAGAAACAGATTCTAAGGAAGAAAAAGTTGTTACAAAAGGACCTGCGTCGTTGAGAACCTTTGATTCAACAGTCACAAAGATGAAGGAGTTAGAATTTGGAGGAGTACCTGGTAGGACTCCAAACTGGGTTGAGGGAGGGCTGGCAAGGGGAGTGAGTGGTATTTGCTGTCAGGTGGATAGGAGAGGACTCTACTAAGAAATCTGATGTAGGCAAGGAGATGAACCAGGTAGAAATTGGGGCTAAAGTCTCCTGTCAGAAGAACAGCAAATGCCTAAGGTTGGGAGCATTTTTCAGCATTATCACAGAGTAGGAGAAGTGCCAATGTGGGTGTATCTTAATATTTGACAACCTGTTGACAGAGAGGTGCAAAGAAGTGATAAGGTCAGTCTGACAGCTGTGCATAGGCAGGATTGTTGTTAAGTGCTGTCAAGTTGGTTCCAACTCATAGTGACCTTGTATAGGGTTTCCAAGGAGCTATTGGTGAGTTTGAACCACTGGGCTTGCGTTTCAAACCAACTTTGTGGTCCAGTGCATTAACCCACAGTGCCATACCAGGACTCCATAGTTATACCACGTCATCAAGTTGATTCCAACTCATGGTGACACTACCTAGGGTTTCTAAGGATGCAAATCTTTATGGGTGTAGAAAAGTCTCTTCTTTCTCCCATGCAGTGGCTGTTGGATTCAAACTGATGACCTTGCGGTTAGCAGCTTTGTAAACCACTATGCCACCAGGGCTCCTTGGAGTGGGTAGCATGGTGGGCATTGCCTCAGGCATAAAAAAATGAGGTCTTGTCTGCTCTGCCTGCTGGACTGCTTGATCTGGAATGTGCCAAGATTTGGTTATTAAGTGGGTGGAATTGCTGAAATTTTATAAACTAGTAAAGGAAAATACTTCTTGGCTAAATGGTTCAAAATCCTCCATGGCGTAATTCCTTTGTATTTTGTCAGTTATAACCTTGACTAGCTGGTCTGTTGGTGTCCATGTGCATCGCTGAAAATTAGTGCATGTGCTTTGTGATTGTGATATTTCAATTGTTAGAAACCTAGGGTTACAAAGTTTTTGTTAAGGAGTATGGTGGTTCCATGTGATAAGCACTGGCCTGCGAACCACAACGTCTGAAGTTCAAGACCTCCTGCTGCTCCAAGGGAGAAAGATGAGGCTTTCTGTTTTCACAAAGATTTAAGCCTTGGAAACCCTATATAAGTTGGAACTGACTCAGTGGCACTCAATAACAATATGGACAATTTTTTTTTTTTTGGTCTCAAAAACAGAACAGGCTGATAATTGCTAGACTCTCTAATGCAGTTAGTTGGAATTTCAACAGCTTTACTTCTCTCAATATGACATTTTAAATGTTCTAGGGCTTGGCTTCTCACATAGAATTGAGCTGTTCTATGAGGGTGCCCTTCTTTCTTACTGGTTGCTTATGCACTGGAAGAGGTAGGTAGAGGCTAGGAGTTGCTCAGGGTACATTAGAAATCAGTTTCAGGCAGTTGCCTAGACTTGAGTTCTGACCTTAAAATAACAAAACAAAACAAATGATTCTTTAAAACAACAACAAAAAAAGAAATTGAACTTGGCTGAAATTTGATTTGCAGGTGCGTGCTGCTTAATGCTAGGCCTGCCTGTCTTCCTTGTCATGTTGCTGTTGATGTGTAAGCAGAAGGACCCCAGCCTTCTCAGTTTTCCTCCTCCTCTGCCAACTTGGTATGATTTATGGGAAAACAGAGTATTTGGGGCTTACCTTCTCTGGTTTTTTCTTCAAGCTCTGTTCTACCTACTGCCAGTTGGAAAGGTAAGCTTTTGTTAGTAGAACACAGTAGTGTTGTGACGTTTTCTTCCCTTTTCTCACATGTTCATGTAACTAAATTTGTAGCAGTTTTAAGGCTAGAAACTGTCCTTGTGCTAATGACCAAACTTGGTTTTGAGGAGCCACTGTTCCTGTAACACTTGCTTAATAAGCAGAACTGTAAAAATTGAGATTTCTTGCATAACTTTTTAAGCCATATAGAAAAGTATAGTCTTGTTTTGCAAGCTACAAAAAGAAAGGGGGGAAAAAATTCTTAGTGTTTGTCATTTCAGATGAGGATTTTCAATGATTAGTAGATAACTACTGAGCCCAAATGGATTTTAGGCTGTATCTTGTACTTTAAAAAATATATAGATAAGTACACACACACATATCTATTTTAGACCTGCTAGTGTTTACCCCTTTCAAGAGTGTGTCAGCATTTTATGTCCTTTTCAAACTCAGTTGTTCTCATTGCTTAGAGTAGTTCTTTTTCTTCATTCAGTAGATTAATTTACTTAGATATATTGAAAGGAACATGAGCTTCCCTAAGGAGTGAATAATTTAAAGATCTTACTCTTACGGTTTTGCTAGTTAGCCAACTGTCGTAAACCAGGGGATCAGCTTTACTAGGTGTTTTGGATGAGTGCTTTGGAATCCCACCTAAGCTTTATTGGTCTTAATGAGGATTGTTGTGTTCTGGACTGTCAGGCATTTTTATGGTGTAAATTTGTAGTAAAAATCACAAAGTCAGATTAAGATAAACGAGTTCAAATGAGATAATATTTATTGAGAAGGAGTTTTGATAGTTAAACATACATAGTTGCAGACTGAAGTCAACACAGTATTCAATGGATACCTATATGTGCCTTTTGAAATTAACGTGAGGATCTCAAGCAGGTTTTACATTTCCCCTCTCATATAGCTAGTGAAAGGATGCAGTAGCTTAGCCCAAGACACATAATACCATACTAGCATTTTACAGTTCAAAAAGAATCACTTCATTTCTAGTTATTTTGGGGAGTAAAATGTGGCTACTATTGGGCAAGTGGGCTTTTAATTTTAACTCACCTGTGTAAGTTGGGTGTTTCTGAGTACCTTTTGTGAGGTGTCACTGTGTTAAGTGCTGTGTGTGATCCAGAATGAAGAGATGGCCCCGATCCATGAAGGACTCACAGTCTTTTTGTGGAGATGCAAGAATCACTTGAAATGGTTAAATCACTCGATGAGTGTGGCAGTATGAAGGGGCTTAAAAAAGTTCGTGGAAAAACGGAATTGAAGTTAGAGAAATTTTTCCATGAACTTTTTGAAGTCTCTTATATAAATAACAGAGCAAGTAAGTGTATGAGCCCATGTCATCAAGCAGCACATGGGTCATAGCAGCCTAGGAAGACCCAGGACATAAAAGTGAACTTTGTATACTTAGGTGTTGTTGTTGTAGTTGTTAAAGTGCAATCGAGTTGGTTCTGACCCATAGCAACCCTGTTGTATAGGGCTCCTGAGGAGTGGTTGGTGAGCTTGAACCGTTGCCCTTGCGGAACTAACTGACTTTGCAGCCCAGTGCGTTAACCCATAGCACTACACCAGGAATAGGACCTCATAGTGTTTACTCTATTTTGTGAGTAGCAGGAAGCTACTTAAGATGTCTGCGCTAGGGAGTAAATATATCTAATGTTATTTTAAGCACATTTAGTCCTATGGAGTTCTGGTGTGGTGCTATAGGATAAGCACTGGACTTCTAACCTTAATGTTGGTGATTCAGACCCACCAGCTCTACTTGGAAACCCTATACAGGGTTGCTATGAGTTGGAATTGACTTGGCAGCACTTAACAACAACAGTCCTGTGGTGATGCACCATATGGTTAGAGTTAGGATGGTGCAGTGTTGGTACTGCTGTAGTCTCAATATGCTGAGAAAGGATAACTAGATTTATATGTAAGGTAACATTTCTGAGGTGGAATGGCTTTGTCAAAGGGTTTGCTATTAAGACTTTTGAAACATAGTACTAAATTTTCCTTTAGAAAAGATGACCCTACTTTTGGACATGTTGAAATTTACATGATGTTAGAAGAAGATATCTATACAATGGGGACTCAAATTTTTTTTGAAAAATTCCATACCTTTTAATTTCATTTTCTAAGAACGTTTTGAAGCCTTATTATAAATCATCTGTACTTATGTTAGTGATGTTAGAAGACACACACATATATGCAAGTAGATAAATGTGATGATAAAGTATTTTTAAATTAAAAAAATTTTTTTTTTTTTTAAGGTTGTAGAAGGAACACCTCTTATTGATGGAAGAAGACTCAAGTATAGAATAAATGGTGATTTTTTTTTTTTTTTTTTAAAGAACTTTATTGTTGTTAGCTTAAACTTTCACATTGTACTGTTTTTTTTTTTAAAGTTTTTATTATAAACTTAGTGATAGTTTACATGGAAGAACACCAGCTTTACAACCATTGTTTCATTGCAATGATTGCAATCTCCGTGCATCATCATTCAACAGTATTTGTTTCCATTCCCTCTGTTTTTTTTTTTGGCGGGGGGTGGGGTGGGGTGGGGGGTGTACACAAGAACACTCAGGAATATATAATAATTTAAAGAACCAAAGGGCCCATTGTTGTAAGCTTGCCTCCTGGCTGTCAGCACCCAGTCACTCTCTTTTCATGAGTCCAGAGTCCTTAGCTGCTCCCTCTCTCCATGTCTTCATCTCTGCCTCCATCTCTGGTGTCTCTGCTTCTCTGGTTAGGGTCCTGCATTCTGCTTGTGCTCTTCTCTCTTGATGGTCCTAGGGTCCTCTGTTTCTGGACTGTAAGATTAACTACTCCCCCGTTTTTGCTACAAAACCTTTACAGTTATGACAGTTGCAATTAGTCATGATAACAATTACACAGTATTGAATCATAAGAATCTTATCTCCATTTCTTTTCATCAGACCCTTCTTGACAAGATAAAAACTATTTATTGGTGACTCTTATTATCCTCTGCACACTCTTAAAAGTAAACTCCCTCCTGAAACCTTGTAAGCCAGTCACTTCGTGCCTTTATCGCCCCCCCTCATTGTAGGTGGTTTTTATTGTGCAGTGCCGTCGAGTCGGTTCTGACCCATAGTTATCCTGCATAGGGTTTCCAAGAAGCAGCTGGTGAGCTTGAACCTCCAATCTTGCAGTTCAAATGGCTTTGCAGTCTGGCGCATTAACCCACAGCGCCACACCTAGAACTCCTTTATTTAGGTAGCCAGTGGTCTAAGTTGCCCATCCCTGTCCTTTATATATGGAGCTCTGGTAGCGTAGTGGTTACGAATCGGGCTGTGAACCACAAGGTCAGCAGCTGCTCTGTGGGAGAAAGATGAGGCTTTCTGCTCCCGTAAAGATTAACAGCCTTGGAAACCCTGTGAAGGGTCGCTATGAGTTGGAACCAACTCCATGGCACATAACAACAACAACAACAACATCCTTTATACAGAGGGGATAGGATTGATACTTGATGTGAAGACTCCTTCCTTCTGTGATGGTGTTTTGAGCTACTACATCCATGAGTATGAGGAGCTCGGGTAGCGTAGTGGTTATGATTCGGGCTGTGAGCTGCAAGGTCAGCAGTTTGAAACTACCAGCTGTTCCGCGGTAGAAAGATGAGGCTTTCTGCTCCCGTAAAGATTTACAGCCTTGGAAAACATGTACAGGGTCGCTATGAGTCGGAACCAACTCCACGGCGCATAACAACAACAACCTCCATGAGTATAGGTCAAATTCATCAAATTGTAGCAATTTATACTCATTTCTTTGATCAAGAATTGTTTTTTTTATCATCTTCTAGTTGAGTTCTGATTATCAAGCCATTGAGCCTAGGTCAAATGGGTACTATTTGCAAGTTTGGGCATTCTTGTGCATCTCCCCTCACTTCATATTGGCTGGATGCTTCACGCTCAGCTCTAGTCCTCTGTGGCTATGTCCTTGTCCATGGGCTCACGTATCTCCAGGTCTCACCACACTTTGAACCAACCAGCCCTTCCTCTTTTCTCTCTCATCTCCAGGTCAGCGGGAGTCAATGGAACATGGTTGAACTCAGCCCTTTTCTTCATTGCTGTCTTTGCCCCTTGTTTTAAAATTCAATGTTGAATATAGAAGAGTAGTAGATAGCAAATGATCTCTAGTCCACAGAGCATGCAGATAGACTGTTTACACTTGCAAGCGCATGTAGCAGTGCTGCCATATAAAGGAGCATAACCTCTCAGGCATTCTTTCTCGTTATCCTGTTTTATTTCTCAGTAGCATTTATCACTCTGAAATAATTTTGTGTGCGTAGTTCATCCTCTTGAGTCTTCACCACAGCCTGCGCAGCGCTACACTTCAGTGGGCTTCCTCATGTAGCCACACCCACTCTGCTTCAGCCAACTGTCTTCAGGGCTGTCCTGTGAGTGAATGTGTTACTCTCTCTTCTTGGTACCTTTGCCTGGAAAGCTTTCCCCTGAATGTTTGATGGCTGGATTTTTCACCTGTTCTCTTTCTGCTTAAATGTACTGTCTTTAAGAAACCTTCAGGTCACTGTCCTGTTTTATATTCTTTACAGCCTTGGAAACCCTGTACAGGGTCGCTGTGAGTCGGAACCGACTCCATGTCACACAATAACAACAACAAATGGTGGTTATATTTCTTGATGATAGTGCATTGTGACCTCCCACCTTACAATGTTGCTTTCTAAACAGGGGCTTGGTTGTGTTCCTTTTGGTGCCTTGTGCCAGGAAAACTACTGGGTACTGGGTGATTAAATTAACTCACTAATAAGTACACATGTGAATGTGAGGTAGTCATCTCCCTGGTAATCTCAGGAGACAAATGGGCAGACGTTATTCCCCTTTTCTTGATCTGGGCACTTCCCATGGAAAGAGTATGCTCTAAGGGAGTCTGTCCAAATTTGCCGTTTTGAAGACTATTTTAAGGTTCAAGTACCTTGCTTTAAAGAAATATATCTACATTGGTATCCTGAAATCATTTTCCTGAGGATTACATAATAATTTATGGTCTTTCTTACCCTATCCTTTCTTAACTTTGGAATACTTTTAGTTTAGTAACTTACCTAGTATCTACTCTGAAATTGCTCTACTTTGGAGCCAAGACATGTTTTAGTTGTCTTGAAGTAAATAAAGTATCTAATCCAGGTCACTGCCTAAGCCTCAGTGGATGCTTAGTCCTTATTTGCTGCTACTCTTGTATTTTCTGTTTCCATTGATGAAATTCTTTGACTGATAGAGCAAGCTTGAGAAGCTATCTTTGGCAGCCTCCTCTCATCATGTTGCGTGTACAGCGCCAGTGGAACTGACTGGGGAGAGGTGGTTTGTTTACTTTTTGTCCCCAGGTCTCTCCATAGTAGAGTTTTGTAGGTTTCTCTCTAGAGTACTGATTCACATTTTTTCTAGGTATCTTACTTTGTTTTGTATCCCTTTGAAGGATATCTATGCTGGGAAATTGAGCCGCGTGTTTGGACACGAAGGTGTTGGAGTTGAGTAATAGCTGGAATAGTTGCTTGATTCTTTTTTATAAATTTCCTCATCTAATTATTCGGATCTTAGAATTGTTTATTTTCATGAGATTTGTAAACTAGAGATTCCTAAGAAATGTTGACTATTTTTAGTGTACGTAAAAAATCTCCCATTCTTTTTTCTTTAATATTCTTAGGCTTGATGAAAGTTACACTTGAAAAAGTCAAAGTTAAAAATAGTATACTAATACTCTTTGGCGTAAACTTGCTATGTGAAAAATGCAATTTAAATGCTAAATAAATCAGAGTATTCATTCATCTTATATTATAAAACTTTTATTTTAGAATTCTTATAGCTAGATCATGGTTACTTATTTTCTGTTTGGCTTATCCAAACACAGATTTGATGACTTACTCAAAACCTAGCTCTTGCAGGCACTTATCTCCTAAAAGCAAAACTCTTCAGCCAAAAGAAAAAGTGGATTATCCACTGAGTCTTTGCGTACCAGGCTGGCAAGGAATGAAAGCTCCCCATGAAGCTTTGCAGGGTGTGTTTTAATTTGGAATTGATGTACATGGCTCTGGCTTTAGCAAGCCCCATTGATGGCTTCCTGTCTGTCAACTGGTGACCCCTTTTCCTTTGTGATTTAGGAGATGTTTGTCCTGCGGCTTCTACTTTGAGTAGGGTCTGGAGGTCTGTTTTCTTCAAGGTAGACTATGACCAGAATCTTTTGAAGACATTATTGACAAGTTAGTTCAGGTATAAAAGATTACCCTATCATTAGGTAATGGAATTACACTTTAAAATGTGTGTTTGGCTCAGCTCTGTTAATTTTTTGCCATTTGGCTTTGTGGCTAAAGGTTTAGATTATGTGAATTTTGAGATTCCTTTCAAGTATTTAACATTAGTGAATTTCAGTGTACTCTCAGCTGTCCTATAATTAAAGTAGATAATGACCATTTATATCAAAAAGGAATAAGTTAAATATGCTAAAGTAGTTGAGAAATTGTGCGAGAGATGCAGTATTACACTGAAGATCTATCGCAGGGTCAGTGATTTTTTGCATATTTGTGCATATTTAATCTGAATGAAATTCACTTAAAAAATAACATTTTATGCTGGTATGTATCTTGTATAAAGTCTGCATTAACATGAATTTTCTTTTTTCTTATTTGTACAGGATTCTATGCTTTTGTCTTAACATCTGTAGTCATTGGAGCATCTTACTTCTGGGGTGTGGAGTTTCGCTATGTCTACGACCATTTCCTTCAGTTTGCGCTGGGGGCGATTGTGTTTTCCGTGGCCTTGAGTATTTATCTCTACGTGAGGTCTTTGAAAGTGCCCAGGAATGAACTGTCACTTGCTAGCTCTGGTGAGCAGCATACATGGGTTGGCCGAATGTAGCCTAGAGCATGAACTTAATTTTATGGGAGATGAAGAGAAATGAGGGAAAAAATTAAAAAGATAAAATAGAAATTAAAAAATGAATTTAAAGGGAGAAAAGTCTTTGATTTTCCCCTCACTTTTGGCCTGATAATTTATGACAAATATTTTTTGTTCAAAATGGTAAATAGCTGATTTAAAAAAAAAATAAGATAAAACAATAAAGGCTACACATTGGTTTATTCTAACCTAAAGTATTAAACATATGGAAAAAATTAATTTCTTAATTTAGAAATAATTGTAAGTCTACATTAAAAGAAAAAAAAAAAATTCAGTTCCCTTAAAATTGGGGAATCTGACAACATGAGCCCCCATGCTTGCATAGTTTTGACCCTTCTAGAGGGCCAGTATTCCCCATTCCCTTTGACTCTTGTCAGCTCCAATAGGCAATGGAAGGAATCTGGGTGGAGCAGTGGCTAAAGTCTTGACTGTTAACCACAAGGTTGCTGCTGGTTCCTACTTAACTAGATGCTCTGTGGGAAAATGATGTGGTTAGGTTCCATTGAGTTGTGCATGGTGACCCCATTTGACAGACTAGAACTGCGTCACAGGATTGCCTGTAGTTTCATTTTTATTGGAGCAGATTGCCTGCCAGGCCTTTCTCCTGTGGAGCCTGTTACGTGGGTTGGAACTACCAACCTTACAGCTAGCAGCCAAGTACTTAACTACTTTGCCAGTGGGGCATGTCTAAAGATCATGACCTTGGAAATCCTATGGGGCAGTTCTTTGTTCTGTAGGATTGCTATTGTCAGAATTTACTCAACAGCACTATGGGTTTTGATTTGTTTTTTGATGTGTTAGCAATTGAATTGTGACCCATGAATAATAGTGCACTATTTAGAGCTTGTAATTGGATTTGGCCTACAATTTAGTAAAAATGTTTCCCATCTCAGGAAATGCTGTTTATGATTTCTTCATTGGTCGTGAATTAAATCCTCGAGTTGGTGCTTTTGATCTCAAATACTTCTGTGAACTGCGCCCCGGATTGATTGGATGGGTATGTTTTTTTTGTTGTTGTTGTTGCTATTAAATTTCAATTCTGTAGTACTAATTTTGCATTTAGAAAGAATTATAAACAATTTCAAACTAAGCAGTAGGTGGTATATTTTTAGCGATAAAGCTTTCTATAAATCTTTGTACTTAAAGAAAAATATTTTCTTACTGTAAATATGTTTCAGAGTTTTAGGATATTCCTACATAAGCAAAGTGGTAATGTAGATGAGTTTATATTAGAAAAATGCTTTTTCTTCCTTTTTAAAAATTTTTATTTTGAACCAATTTTAGACTTAAAAGAAAAGTTGCAAAAACGTCTCTTTATCCTTCACTCACCTTCCCCTAATTTAACATCTGACATACTAACCATAGTTAATTACTCAGAACAACAAATGAACATTGTTATATAGTGAGTCCCCAGATAATGAACGAGTTCTCTTCCTTTTTGTCTTTTAAGTCTAATTAGTGTGTATTTTGGAAAAGTTAGGTACAGTTCAAAAGTTTGTTAGGATATAGTATACCCACTCCTTACTTACTGACTTTGTTAGGTTCCAGTGACAGCACTGTTATGTGAAAATTGACTTTATGCAAAAAATGGATGATAACTACATAATTACATAACTGCCAAATTATACCATCATGTAACTGCCAAATCACTACGATAATGACCCAGACAAATTGACACACAGCTTTAACTATCGCAGCTAGCATTTCACTTGACCATCACATCAGTATTTGTTATTGCTAGCTGTAGGTCGTTAATGTCCCTAATAGATTGTAGATTTTTTTACTGTTGTTGTAAATGCAGAATGTCAGAGAATGAGATAGTTGATAAATGAGGAGTAGGTGATAGAGGGAACTTCAGATTCATGAGAAAATTCCATATTCTTTTAATTCCCCTTTTCTACAAACTTTGAAGTCCCCTTGTATAGTGTATCTTTTTATGCATAAAAACATTAAATATTTCCAGATGTACTAAAACATTATGTACTTAAAAAACAATAGTGTTTTGTTTGTTGCAAAGTACCACCCATTTGTTACTATACATCATTTTATATACCTCCCATTTTGAGTATACTAGTCATTAAAGGGATGGATTTGTTAACTGTGGGATAGACACAAGTTGGATGTCTATGACTCAGGGACTGCCTGCAGTAGTTTTAAGTAAACCAACAGACCTTACTCAGATTTCACTAGTTTTTCTACTAATGTTTGTCATTTTTCTGTTCTAGGATTTTCTCCAGAATCTTACATTGCATTTAGTTGTTTTTTCTTCTTAGTCTCCCCTAGTCTGTAAGAGTTCCTTAACTCTTCTTTGTTGTTCATGAACTTGATACTGGTCAGTGATTTTGTAGAAGTGCCTGCAGTTTGGATTACTCCACTTTTTCCTCAGGTTTGTTGTAAGGGTTATGAATTTTGGGTAGGAGTAGCACAGAAATGATGGTGTGCCCTTCTCCATTTGTTCCATCCAGGTTTCATGAAGCTGAATGGCCTTATCACTGCTGGTTTTCCTTGTAGTAGGTGGTTGCCACTCTCTCAGCTGTGAAGGGATTGTCTTTCTAATTGTAGCTGCTAAGTATCTCTGGTGAGAAACAGAGACTCTACTTTCTTCTTTTATTTTCAGGTGCTTATTAATTTGGTGATGCTTTTGGCTGAGATGAAAGTACAGAAACGTGGTGCTCCATCCTTAGCAATGATTTTGGTTAACAGTTTCCAGTTCTTGTATGTGGTGGATGCTCTTTGGAATGAGGTAATTAATTTTTAGAGCTGGCCTTGGAGCTAGACTGAAATGAGTGGAGATCTTCTTACTTACAATGAGGGCAGCAACCTGGCTGAAAGGGAGGGGGGAAAAGGGTGGGGATAAAGTGAGACCCTCCATGGGGAGGCACTTAGCTGACACACAGTAAGTGCTAAGAAATGGTATGTGACTTTTAGAATTTTGATGTTAATTTCATTTATACCAGCTGTTCTTTTAGATGTTGTAGATTTAAGATATGTGGATTTTAGCATTTGGTTTTGTGGTGGTGACAAATTCATTTAAATAAAATTGATTGGCTTAGTTGTTACAGGATGTGCAAATGGATAGACATATTAGATAGATACCTTTGGCTTGTCAGAAGGCATCTAGTTTGTAAATAATGGGGAAAATATTTATTATTCGTGTTTCAAATATATAAGCACTGATCTAGCTGGATATGAAATGAAAAATTATGATGCATTGGGAGAGCTAGTTTAAATAAAGCTAAGTTTCCAACTCATGATTTTTCTCAAGACATTGGTAAGTTGTCAACATTTTCTATTGAAGACTAGTGTTTTTTTTTTTTGTTGTTGTTGCACAACTAAACCTGTATATTTAAAAAAAAAATGTTTTCCTATTTTACAGCTATTTTATCATCTTCATTGTTAGTGTTAAGTGCCGTCAAGTCAATTCTGACTTAAAACAAACCTGTATAGGTTTTCCAGGAGTGACTGGTGAGTTTGAACCGCTGACCTAGTGGTTCAAACCGACCTTGCAGTCCAGAGCTTTATCCCACAGTGCTACACCAGCACTCGTTGTGAAGTGCTGACCTTACAGTTCAAATGGCTTTGCAGTCTGGCGCATTAACCCAAAGTGCCACACCAGGACTCAAATGGAGTTTTCTTTCAATTTAAAAAGAAAATTGGCAAATATGTTATTATTTTGGGAAACTTTTTATTATGAATGAGTAAAAGTTTACAGACAGACATCATCAGTTTGTTACCCAAGAAACCTCATACTTCATTTTATTGCAGTTATCCCATTTTCTCCCTGTGATTCCTATTTCCATTCCATTCCATCCTCCCAACCCCTCTGAAACTTGCCCTCAGTTAAATATTGCCCTTTTGACCTTGAATGGTTGACCATTCCATGGTCAGCACACCTCCACACCTCACTGGTGTTGTCCCCCTATGTACCTATCTACTGCTCGGTAGAAAATTGAGCCACAAAGATGTTCTGTTCTGGGCCGAGGGTAGTAGTTTGTATTCCTTCAGTCTCTTCCTGACCAGTAAGCCCGATCTTTTTACAGTTTTGAGTTTTGTTCCACATTTTCTACTACGCTATTGGGGACCTTCTGATCCCTTTCGTAGCTGTCGGTCGTGGTAGGCAGGCATCACTTAGTTTTGGTCTCAGAGTCATGTAGGTCAATGTTCATGTGATCCAGTAGTCCATTGGACTAACTGATTCCAGGCATCTTCAGTTTTCATCACTCTTCTTTCTACTGTGCATGGAGAAATGAACACTTGACATCTTAGACAGCTGCTTGTGAGCTTATAAGATCCCTGTCGCTATCGACCAAAGTAGGGTATAGAACATTGTCTTGGGTATGTTCTGTGTTATGCCAGTTGACTGTAGTGTTCTATGAAACTGTGGTCCTGAGACCTTAGGCCCAGCAATTTAGGAAACCCAACTTTGAAATGTTACAAAACAAATTTTTATGTAAGTCTGTGGACATTTTGAGAGAAGGCCCCTTTCTTTTGAGGCTGTGGTACTTTAAAAAAAAGATTTTAAAGATTTTAAAAGTCTACTCAAAGTTAAATGTGTTTTTTTAATGTTTTATTGTATATTATATGATAGTTTACATGGGAAAATATTAGTTTTACATTCATCCTATTGTATATACTATTGTATATATTGTTTCACTGCCATGATTTCAGTCCCCTCCATGCATCATCAGACAATCAAAGGGTATACCCTCAAGCCTATCCCTCATCCTCTTTGGGTCTAGAGCCCCCAGCCACTCCGTCTCTCCACGTCATTGTCTCTGCCTCCATCTCTGGTGACATTGCTTCTCTTCATAGGGTTGCGTACTCTGTTCTTCTTAAATGTGCTTTTGAAATTAAAAGCAAACACCTCTTTTATAAATTCACTTATTGCCAGTGTATGTTATTCTGGTACCATATAAATAAATAGTTCCCAAGAAGCAGGTAGATGAAATTTTGTAAGTCCAATGATATTTCACTGTTGCTGTTACGCTGTTGATTTATTGCCTTGGATTATTTTGAATTCCCCCCCCCCAATAGCTTCTCAATTAGTGATTCTTGATAGTTTATTCCTTCTAGCTTTTTATCATGTAGTGTTAGTAATTTTTTAATTGGCTTATAAATTCCTATTTTTTATGACTTTTGCATGTTTTTAGACTCTTGAGGTAATACTAGAGTATCCGTAGGAATCGATGATTGTAGTGGGTTATACGTTGGGTTGCTAATCTCAAGGTCAGTAGTATGACTCTGTCAGCTGCTCCTTGGGGAAAAGATTAGGCTTTCTGTTCGTTCCTCTAAAGGTTTATCACCTCAGAAAGCCTATACGGGGTCACTACAAGTCTGAACCAACTTGATGGCACATAACAGTAGCAGTAGTACTAAAGGATTGGAATTTAGAAGCTCTTTGTTGCTTTTGTATATTATCAGTATCTCAGCCAGGCTCTGATGAGCTGCTTTTTTTTTTTTTTTTTTTTTAAATTTATGTTTTATTGTTGAGCCCATATACAGCACAGCAAAACAGACTAATTCAACTGTTCCACAGGTATAATCCATTGATGTTAATTACATTCTTTTTTTTTCTTTTTCTTCTTTCATTATAATGATTACAATCCCCTTTTTTGATGTGCCCCCCAATACACATGAATATATAATCATTTAAGCAACGAAAGGACACATTTTGCAAATCAGCCCCCTGCCTGCAAGCACACAGCCTTTCTCTTTCCATGAGTCTAGAGTCCTCAACTGTTCTCTCTCTCCATGCCATCATCTCTGCCTCCTTCTCTGGTGTTACTACTTCTCTGGTTAGGATCCCAAATTCCATTGCACTCATGCTGTTCCCTCTTGATGGTCCTAGGGTCCTCTGTTCCTGGGATGTAAGATTAACTACTCTTCCCTTTTCGTTTCACATCTACCTTTACAATTGTGATAATGGCCATTAGTCACAATAACACTTACTATGAAATCAAAAGAGCCCTATCCCCATCTTTCGCCTGACCCATCTAGACAAGATGGAAACTATTCAGTGGGGATTCTGCCTTCCCCTGCACACTCTGAAACTGAATTCCCTCCTGAAAACTTGCAAGCCTGCTACTTCATACCTTTGTAGCACACCTCCCCCCCCCCCATTTATTTTAGGTATCCAGTATCTGAGGTGCCTGTCCCTAACAATCCTGTGTACTGAAGGGATCAACTTGATTCTTGATTTGAAGATGCTTTCCCTCTTGGTTTTTATATTCTGTGCTTTTGCATCTACATGCAGTAGCACAGCGTTCATCAAATTGTAGCAATTTACACTTGCTTTCTATATCAAATTTCTTTATCTTCCTCTAGTGGAGATTTGAACTAATGAGCTGCTTTAAGAAGTAACTTGGTTTTATGATTTTCTTTAGCATCTGGCGTGCAGCTGAGCAGTTTGTAGTACTTACTAACTTTCGGTTGACTGATAGAAAATTCCTTAAGGACACTGAGAGAAGACCAGTTGTGAAGGCCCCAATGAGCCCACTGGGATTGGGGTTCCTGTTATGTCAGCCTCTCAGAATTGTCCGCACCGTGGACCCCCAACTGGTCCTTTCTGTCATCCCTGGGGCTGCCTTCCTCTGCTCTCATCTTTGTATCACCTTCTGATGTTTTTTTTTTTTAAGTTTTTATTGTGATTTGAGTGAAAATTTACAGTGCAGATCATCAGTTTTACATTCAACAAATCATATACTTTGTTTCATTACAATGATTATAATCCCCTCCATGTACCATCAGTTAACAGTGTTTCTCTCTATTCATTTTAGATTTTTTTAAAAACTCAGGCATATATAATAATTTAAACTACCAAAGGTCACATTCTGAAAGCCTGCCTCCTGGCCGCCAGCTCTCAGTCCCTCTCTTTCCATGAATCTAGAGTCCTCAGCTGCTCCCTCTCTCTGTGTCACCACCGCTGCCTCCATCTCTGATGTCGCTGCTTCTCTGGATAAGGTCTTGCCTTCGCTTGTGTTCTTTCCCCTTTATGGCCCTAGGGTCTTCTGTTTCTGGAATCTAAGGTTGACTGTTCTCCTGTTTTTGTTATAAAACTTCTATCTTTACAATTGTGACAGTCTCAGTTAGTTGTGATAACAATTACTCATTGTTTAATCATGAGAATCTTATTTCCATCTCTTTTCACCAGACCCAGCTAGCTAGACGAGATGAAAACTATTCAGTGGGGATTCTGTCTTCCCCGCACACTCTTAAACTAAACTCTCTCTTGAAACCTTATAAGCCAGTCACTTTGTGCCTTTATTGCCCCTCATTTTAGGTAGCCAGTGTCTAAGCTGCCCATCCCTATCTACCCCGTGTACAGAGGGGATAGCATTGATACTTGATATGAAGACTCTTTCCCTCTCTATTGGTATTTTGCGCTACTACATTCATGAGTATAGGTCAAATTCATCAAATAGTAGCAAAGTTACCATTGTTTCTATTATCCAAAAAAAAAAATTTTGTTTTTTAAATTGTCTTCTAGTTGAGTTCTGATTGTCAAGCCATCGAGCTTGGTCATATGGGTACTATCTGCAAGTTTGGGTGTTCTTGTGCTTCTCCCCGCACTTCATATCAGCTGGATGCTTCACTCTCAGCTCTAGCCCTCTGTGGCTATGTCCTTGTACATGGGCTGAGGAGTCCCCAGATCTCTCACCACACTGTGGACCAACCAGCCCTTCCTCTTCTCTCTCATCTCCAGGTCAACAGGAGTCTATGGAAGGTGATTGAACTCAGCTCATTTCTTCTTGCTTCTTTTCCCCATCTTCTACTCACCAGCTGACCGAAGTGGTCACCAGCATTATTATGTGCCTACTCATGTGTTCCCTTGGAGTTTCAGGCTTAGAGAGGGGTTTGTCCTGAAGGGACTTGATTGCTTGCCTTGATGGCTCTCTTGTGAACAACTTGTTTATTCTTGTAGTAGCCAATCAGACTGCCATTTTTGTTTTCACCTGTTTTAGGGCCCTGATTGGTGTCATAGGTTAAGCAGTTCATACCTACTGGCTGCACTGCAGGGGAAAGATGAGGCTGTCTCAGACCCCCCTTAGGAGCACTGTGTCCTATAGGGTCACCATGAGTCAGAATTGACTTGACTGCAATGCGGGTGGGTATTCAGTTTTGGTTTAGGGAACCAGATTCCGGATCTTAAGAGCTTCTGTGAATAAGAAATAGGCCCTCAGCAAATAAGGGCCTAGAGTTTGTGACCTCATTGTTTCCTGTTTCATGGTCTTTTTGTTTTCTGGTAAGTACTGTCCTTGGATTCATTGAGATATCACTTAATTTCTCTATGGAGAATTTCTTGTGGTTCTTCAAAAGGACATACTGCTCCCATTTTTATTCCAGTGATTGGGGTTGGAAGCAGTTTAAGGACACTCAAATTAGACCTCTGCAGACCCAGCGGTCCACCACTTGTCTGTCAGTTTGTCGTACTTTGGTGGCTTTTGAGTTGCTGTGATTCTGGAAGCTATGCCATAGGTATTTCAAATACCAGCAGGGTCCCCCATGGTGGACAGTTTTCAGTTGAGCTTTCAGACGAAGACTGGGAAGAAGGAGAGACGAATTACTTCCGAATATTTCAGTCACTGAAAAGCTTATGAATAGCTAGAAAATGAGCCCCTCAGGTTGGAAGGTACTCAAAATATGAATGGTGAAGACCTGTCTCCTTTAAGTAGAGTTGACCGTGATGACGCTAATGGAATAAAGCCCGGGGGAGTAAGGCCCTCAGGACCTTCATTTGCTGATGAGGCACAACTCAAAATGAAGGAGAAACAGCAGCTGTAAACATGGAGTGTATGAATCTATGAAGAAAAAATTCAAGCCTTGACTCTCATTAGTGGATAGTGGATTCTCTGGGCAAATTATTGAATGTTGCAAAAAGCATCAAAAGAAGATGGAAGGAATACACAGAGTCACTGTACCAAAAAGAAATGGTTGCTATTCAACTATTTAAGAGGTAGGATATGATCAGGAACAAATGACACTGAAGGAAGAAGTCCAAGGTGCATTGAAGGAACTGGCAAAGTTCAAGGCACCAGGAATTGATGGAATAAAAATCGAAATCTCTCAAGACAGTAAGGCAGCACTGGAGTCACTATTCCAAGAAATATGAAAGACAACAATCTGGCCAACTGATTGGAAGAGATCTGTATTTGTGCCCATTCCAAAGAGAGGCGACCCAACGGAATGCGGAAATCATCAGAAAATCTCATTGATATCCCATGTGAGTAAAGTTTTACTAAAGGTAATACAGAAATGGCTGCAAGTATACATTGACAGAGAACTTCCAGAGGTTCAAGCTGGATTCAGAAGAGGCCATGGAACGAGGGATATCATTGCTGGTGTCTGATGGATCTTGGCTGAAAGCAGAGAATACCAGAAAGATGTTTATGTGTACTTTATTGAGTACACAAAGGCTGTTGATTGTGTGGATCATGACAAGCTATGGACAACATTGCAAAGTATGAGTATTTCTGAATACTTAATTGTGTTCATGAGAAATCTATACATGGACCAAGAGGCAGTTGTTCTAACAGAACATGGGAATGCTGAATGGTTTAAAATTAAGAAAGGTGTGCGACAGGGTTGTATTCTCAACCTTTATGCTGAGCAAATAATCCAAGAAGCTGGGTTATATTAAGAAAAGTGTGATATCAAGATTGGAGGAAGGTTCATTAACAACCTGCGATATGCAGATAATCCAACCTTGCTTATTGAAAATGAAGAGGGCTCAAAATACATACTTCAGTATGGATTACATCTCAATGTAAAGAAAACAAAAATCCTTGCCACTGGACCAATAAACAACATTCTTATCAATGGAGAAAAGATTGAAGTTGTCAAGGACTTCATTCTTCTTGAATCAGCCATCAACACGCATGGAAGCAGCAGTCATGAAATCAAACAACCGTATTGCATTAGGCAAATCTGCACAAGACCTTTTTAAAGTGTTGAAGAGCAAAGATGTCAGCTTGAGGACTAAGGTGCGCCTGACCTAAGCCATGGTATTTTCAGTAACTTCATATGCATTCAGAAGCGGGACAGTGAATAAAGAAGAACGGAGAAGAATTGATGCTTTTGAGTTACAGTGTAGGAGGAGAATTTTGAAAGTGCCTTGTACTGCCAAAAGAACCAACAGATCTGTGTAGGAAGAAGTGCAGCTAGAGTGCTCCTTGGAGGCCAGGATGGCCAGACTTTGTCTCTCACACTTTGGACATATTGTCAAGAGGGACCAGTCGCTGGAGAAGGATATCATGTTTGGTAAGGTGGAGGGTCAGAAAAAAACAGGAAGACCCCCAGTGAGATGGATTGGCAAAATGGCAGCATCATTGGGCTGAAGTGTGGCAATAATTGTGAGGTTGGCCCAGGATTGGGCAATGTTTTTGTTTTGTTGTGCCTAGGGTTGCTATGAGTTGGTACCAACTCAGTTGGCACCTACCAACAAAAACAACAGACCCAGCGGTAACCTGGCTCAGGGTACTTGCTTATGCCAACTTCTTTCCAAAGGGGTTGTACTTTTATTAGTTTACTGTGGGAATTTAAGGTGGTCAGTTACCATGCCTGTTGGGTAAGTTAACTTTTCTCTGTGGGAAATTTATATAAGAAGCTAAATTATGATCAGAACTGAGTTGGCATACATGGAATTAAAACAAAAGGAGTTGCTAATCTTTTCCTTCAGCAAACCATCTTTTGAACACTAATTTTATGATCTTGTGGAGAGAGAGAGACTTCAAATTCTAGGATGTTCACACAGTTAATTCAACAATTGTTGCAACATTAGTCCCTGTGACTAATGGGATAGGAGATCGGAAGGCAATGTAGAGAGGCCAGGATGCTGCTGAAGAAGGCTGTTCCAGGAGAGAGCATCCTTGGCAAAGGGAAGAAGGTCTGAGAGGCACTCATTTGGATGATTTCAGGATCATGGAGCAAGAGTAGGGAGTGACAGGTGATGAAGTGGACAGAATGCCTCGGGGTGATATACGTGCCGGGGCCAACAGATCCCTTCTTTATTTTTTCAGTTTTGTTTGCTGTACCCTTCCATCTCCCTGTCTGTATTGGTTGTATATGCATTGGTACTTCATTTGAATACTTTAAACAGAAATACTTCCCCTCAAGCTTTTTCTTCTTGTACTCCTACAGGAAGCAGTATTGACAACCATGGACATTATCCATGATGGATTTGGATTCATGCTGGCTTTTGGAGATTTAGTGTGGGTTCCATTTATCTACAGCTTCCAAGCCTTTTATTTAGTCAATCATCCAAATGAACTATCTTGGCCAGTTGTTTCTGTAATCATTGCTCTGAAACGTGAGTATTAATTTCATTTTTTGTTATGCTCTGATATTTACATATTTATAACATGTACCTTTAGCTCAAGTGGTATAGTTTGTGATTGATCAGTAAGGAGATATATTCTGTGTCTTGCAAAAAGAATGATGCTTCATGCTTAGCTTCTACAGTAGCTCTATAAAAAGGTAATTTGAAATAGACCATTATTTAATATATGAAAAATTAAGTTTGTATTAGTAACAATGTAACTTCTATTAGGTGCCTGCTTTTTTGTAGGCGCCTTAAAAAATAAAATTGTTTTTTCCTGCATAGAATTTACATTGAAATACTTGTGAGCACTTTAAAGAGGACCTTACAGCTAAAATATGATGGGATTTAAGACGGGTAGAAAGAACCTGTCTCTGGAACATCAGTATCAGATTTAATGGAAGAGGTGGTATTTGAGCTGAGCTTCGAATTTTAGTAAAAATGAAATGTGGAGAGAATTCCAGCTGAGGGAACAACTTGAGTTTAGGGGGCTGTGGTGCTAATTGGAAGGCGTGCTTGGGAACTAGTGAGTAAAGTCTGACAGGACTAACGTCAGTTGTGGAGTCTTGGTTTGGTGCTGTAGGATAAGCACTGGACTGCTACCTGCATGGTCGGTGATTCAAACCCACTGGCCACTCCTCTGAAACCTTCATAGGGGTTGACTCCATGGCATATAGCAACATTAATTTTAACACTTTGAAATTTTGAATAAAGTTGCAACTTGTATGTTCAAAATGGGATTCGGCATTTATTTATGTGCAAGATGTGCTGTTAGTAGATTTAAATGACTGCTGTATGACTAAAGTGTTCATGTGATGGTCAGTGGGTTCCATCATTGGTAGATGTAATCTGGAATGCTGATTGAATACACTCAGCTCTAGTGCTGACTTCATTGTAATGGGGACCATCTCAGAGTTATTCACTGATATAGCTTTTATTAGTTTACTGTGGGAATTTAAGTATTTTAGTTTTGTCCTCCAGCACATCGTACGTCGATCCTGAAATTAGTTTGTAGTAAAATTTCAGGATACTTAGAATCTTTGGACATTGAGAGTTTTTGAATTTCTGGAAATCAGACTATTCTTTGCTTTGGAAATTTCATCAGAGCACAGAGATAATCTCTAAGTGACAATACTGATGATTTTTTTTTTCTAAAATCCTGTTAATATTAGATGGTAGTTAAATTAACATGTATACTTTAAAAAAAATTTACAGTTTGTGGATATGCAATTTTTCGGTGTGCAAATTCTCAGAAAAATGCCTTTCGGAAAAATCCCATGGATCCAAGGCTTGCACGTAAGCATTGATTTTTTTCCTTGATTTTTTTATTTACATTATATAAATATTTGTTTCTGTTTATATAGATCATTAAAATATTTTGTTTTAATCTAGACTTAAAAACCATTCATACTTCAACGGGAAAAAACCTTCTAGTTTCTGGATGGTGGGGCTTTGTTCGCCACCCCAATTACTTGGGTGACCTCATCATGGCCCTGGCTTGGTCCCTCCCTTGTGGTAAGCACTTAAGAAAATGTAAACTTGACGTTTCTGTCAGCTGCCTAGAAGATACCTGTGTCCTTCGATGGTGTGTGGGATCCCCAGAAGCCTTGGTGTCTCCCTGAACCTTCTTGGGCTTGCCCATAGTAACAGCTGCACTGTGTTCTTTTGGCTGTTTTGTTCTTGTTGTTAGGTGCTATTGAGTCGGCACTGACTCATAGCGACCTTATGCACAGCAGAATGAAACACTGCCTCATTAAATTTCAGGGCAAATGTTATGATTGTCGTGGATTGTTAGATGGGATCATGTGTCTTCTCTGTATGGCTGTTGATTCAGATACTCCCTTCTGCCACCCACCAGGGGGATTTTCCTATAAACTAGATGTTCTTCCCATTATTGGAGACAATGAAGCAATCTTAAGGTTGATTTTTGCAGCTTTTGGGGGAAAGCAAGCAAATTTGAATATTGTATAGTGATCATGAAATATCTAATACCACTTACTATTATTACCTACAGGTTTTAACCACGTGTTGCCTTATTTCTACGTGACTTACTTCACCATATTGCTTATCCATCGAGAAGCTCGGGATGAGCACCACTGTAAGAAGAAGTATGGCTTGGCTTGGGAAAAGTACTGCCAACGGGTACCATATCGCATATTTCCGTATGTTTACTGATTCTCGTATGGTGTATTTAAAAAATGCTTCTGACATCCCAGCTACTGTTTGCAAAAACAGAAACAAAAACAAAACAACAAATCCCCAAAGAGCCTTCTTTTGTTGCACTGACAGGTTCTGTAAGCTTTCTTTCTGTGGCAGAACTGTGTAGAGCCAAGTAGAAAATCTTTCTCTGTAACTGTGATTATTTTTACTTTCACAATTTCCACAAAGGAAAATACAAGATGTTACAAGTTTAATTTTAAGCAGAAACTTTTAAGTCAGTGCTTAAAAATCTGAAAACACAAAATGGTCGTCTTACATGTTTACTGAATTAGATTACTTTTCAAATTTTGATTTTGTTTTGCTGTTTTTTCTTAAAACACTGCTGTATATTTTAAAACTTCATTTTTTTTTTTTTTGGCATTGAAAGTGTACAATTTTAACTCGTTTTAATTAAATTGTTTACTAACTATATTGATTTAAAGATGAAAACTGTCCTTTGTAAAATACTAAGTGTTAGAGGGATGAGAGATGGCTTTAAAGGGAGACCATTTGTAGAAGCAGTTGACTTAATAACCTCAGCTTCTAAAACTGCTTTTGAAAATGTAAATACTAAGCTTATTGCTTTTATGTAATATATGGTGACTTCAGAGTTTTCTGTACAGTATTTTAAATGTGAGATAACTGTCAGGGCTAAGTATTTTAACAAAAACATTTTCAGTATTTTAAATTAAACTTTGTAAAGTAGTACATTTGTGAGTTAAATTTTTGGGAACAATTAGAATTCACTTAGTATTGTATAGAAGATGCTATAAAACATAGGAAGGATATTTTTCTTAATCCAAAATTTGTGAATTTGGCTTTGCTACCTCAATTGCAGGTGTTTGCCTTTATAAACTATTCCAAATGGAAAAAATAGAATAAGTATATATTTTTGGAGTAATTAAACATTTTTACACATTGATGTTTGAAAGTTTGCCATTGCAGGCTAATATTTTTGTATGTTTTTGACTTAAACATGTTTTTGCTACTGTTTCATTTATACAGTTTATATACTGTATTTTGTATATCCTTATATTTACAAAACTACTTTTTGTAAAGGAGTGTTGTGTTCAGCTTTAGAAGTATAATCATCTAAAAATAACTCAAGGTAATAGTTTAAAATAGTTTTTTTTTTTTTTTTTTTAGTTCAGTAGATATGCTGGTAAGGTAGTTTTAACCATTAAGTTCTAGCTCAGTTGATGTAGTCTCCTTTATTAATTGCCTATAATGGAATAGTAGCAAATTCATTGAGAGTTAAATTGTTTTCAGCTTTTTAAACATAGAATGTAATGTAATGAGCCATTGAAATGTGCAGTGCTTACTCTGTACTGCAGTTTGAAGAATATAATTAATGTGATCATGAAGTTGGTTTGCTTTATCATTCCTCAGCGTATAGCTAGCTGGTAAACTGTAATGGTGAAACTGTCAGTTTTGTTAGTACTTACTGATGTGGACAAGCAGTTTAATGACACTTTTCTCCTGGCACCAGCGAGTGTTGTCTCAGTGCTAGATACACCAAGGAAGCTGTGGGAAAGGAAGGATGTTTGATTCTTTCCCTGGTAATGAATTGTCAAAGCCTTGATACCAGCACGTGCTATAATTTCTTATGGGCATCAGCTAGAATTTTTTTTTTCCATTTTGTTTTTGACATGTTTATTTGATAAGTAGAAGTTTTATAATGAAGTTTTAAGTTTGAAATAAAGTTGAAAATAAAAAGATGTTGCTTTTGATGAAGTCTCTATTTTTGCCTGGAACTGGAGTTTGTCAATCATTTGTTCAATAATGGCAGCTTATAGAAACACATTTATTTATTAATCTAATGTACTGAATCCTCAGGATTTGTTTTTCAGTGGGAAACGAGGACGAGAACAAGTCCTATTTTTTAAATTGAAGATGGTCCTTCTTGACTTGGAAATGTGCATTTAAGCCAAGAGTCTACTACTCTACATGTATATATTTTTGTTGGCGAGTTGCTTCTGACTTACAGTGAACTTGCTTACGGTTTCTAAGGTTTGAGCCACCAGCAGTATGGTTAGCTTATTATACAGCACCACATCAGAACTCCCTACATGTGTAATTTTACTATGTATAACAGGGCAGAAAGCAGAAGTTTTTATAAAAAAAAGCTCTTCTGAATACCATGCCAGGTGTTACGGCCTTTACTTTTAGAAAAGTCAACCCTGCATTCCTGGTTAGGCTGTCCTTTACTAGAACCCAGTTTCTAAAGAATCAGCAGACCAGGTTTCATGTGTGTGAAATTAAAAGGCCTGGAAGATTCCATCTGCACGTGAAATCTTCAACATGTAACGGAAAGAGAGTACATTGGTTGAACACAGTATATATGTCAGTGTCTTAGAATATAAATCTGAATATAGTCAAGAAATAAAATGGAAAAAAAAATGATTCGGAACTGACATTTATTTCTCATTCTTTCATCTCACACAGTAATGCAACCCGCAGTTTTATCCAGTGACTAGGTGGTTTCTGTGTTGGTAAACACACCGATGTTAAAAAGCTCGTGGATAAACTGGTAGTTGTCAAAATTCTTGACCTTTGCGGTGTCTGGTAAAGGGGGCATTCAAAAGTATAAAGTTCTAAGTCTGTCTGGCCAGAAGCTTTTGGTTTTTCAGTAGGAATCTTAAGGAAACAAAAAATAGTTAAATTGTTATAATGCAGGCAAACCATTAATTAGCTCATTTCCTATGTGCTGGATTTGGGGGTTACAGATTAAACACCCTTATTAGATGGTTAATGTGATACATATAGAAATTATACCTAGAGAATTTTAAAGAGTAACTATTAAGGCTTTCTAGCACATATTCTTGAGAAATAATGGGGTAATAATACAGCTGGGTTAATGCACCAGACTGCAAAGCCATTTGAACTGCAAGGTCGGTGGTTCAAGCTCACCAGCTGCTCCTTGGAAACCCTATCCAGGGTTGCTATGGTTCGGAATCGACTCAATGGCACTTGACAACACAACAATACAGCATTTAATATTACCAACATTTTGGGCTATTTTAAATATAGTTTGTGCTCAACTCAAATTTCCTTTGTGAAATCACAGGGAATGAGGACTGGAGGGTATGTTTTCATATTACTGAGAAGAGTTCAGAGGGTTAAGATTTAGTATAAGCCGTTGGGGTGGTTACCTTTGTTGGTAAGAAGTAAATTTCAGGAAAGTAGCAACAAATTTCAAAAGGCAGTGAGTCATCTAATATTTTTTGTTCATGATTCCATCTTGCTCCATCAATGAACAGACCAAAAATATGAACTCCAAAATGTGATGAGTCTGTGCCCTGGAATTAAAAATGGTCTGGGTGAGTGTTTCCCCACGTAGGACTCTCTTTTGCATTAGCTGTAGCAGCAGCAAGCCTCATTGTGGGCTCCATCCAGAGGCAGATTGTTTCCCTTCCATCTTAGTCTGGAGCCGTCCCTGGCCAAAGCATGCCTTCCTGGGCCTAAGATGAATAATTAATTCTTTCCCTACTCTGAGCGCTTAAGCTTGTAGCGGTGGTGTTCCTGAGTTGATTATTGAAAAATAGTTAAGCCCTAATAGGATTTCATTCATAGGAAGTTCAAGATAGGAAAAAAGTAATCTAAGATAATATTGTTGTGGTTGTTAAGTGCTGTTGAGTTGGTTCCAACCCTTAGCCACCCTGTATAGGGTTTCCTAGGAGCAGCTGGTGAGCTTGAACCACCTATCTTGAGGTTCAAACTGACTTTGCAGTCCAGCTCATTAACCCACAGCATCACACCAGGACCCCAATCTAAGGTGTTAGAAAGCCAGAATAGTGCTCACCTCTGAGGAAGTGTACTACTATCTTGGAAGAGAAGTGAGGAAGTCTATCAAGATGCCAACCATTGTTCTGGTTCTTGACCTGGGTGGTTGGTTGAAATACTTAAGATTTGTGTCCTATATATTATGCTCAATGAAAAAAAGAAGCTAGTTAAAGACCAAAAACAAAAACCCGAAAAAGGTAACAAAGGAAAGTGCAAACAGCAAACATAAAGGCTTGTTTGAAAAAGTAAACAGGAACACTTAGCATGTCTGATGTAGAAAAAAATTGGAGATGAGTACATCTACAACAACTACAAAGTTGCAGAACATTAAAGATCTTATTTATGATAGCAACAATTATAAAATACAGAAACAATCTCATAACTTTCTAATACTTATATAAACAAAACTTACTGAAGGACATAAAAGATCTGAACAAGTAGAAAGTAACCTTGTTTCTATATGAAAAACAATACTGAAAAGATACCAGTTCTGTCAATTTAGAAATTGCCATCAGATCAAAATCTCAATAGTTTAAACAAAAATGAAGTGTAATAAGCTTATTCTCACATTCCTAGAAGAGGAAGTATAAAAATTAAGACAGCTATTAAAAAGAACAATTGGGCTGACTTGTTCTACCAAGTGCATGTATACTTTATAACTTCTGAAACTATATTGTATTGTCCCTGGAGTAGACATTATTAGGACACAGTGGAATTTAGTAAAAACTACCATGACCCTTTAAATCAGTGGGACCCAAAGTGAAGGAGGAGTGGTGGGGTGTACCCCTTTCTCCTACCTTGGGTCACCTCTATCTTACCATCTTCAGTTGAGTGCTGTTGCAAGATAGGTGGGGGGTTTCTCCTTGGAGCCTGGCTGCACTTTGTGTTATGAGTGGTTACTGAGTGGCTAGACACTCAGGCAGTTGAGCAGTCATATGGAGAGGTTTGTCCTGCCGTCTTTAATGCTGACCTCAACAGCATTCATTCTGTGTATTTACTAATCAGTTAACCAGTTGCTGTAGAGTTGATGTACAAGAATGCCAGAGTAGAACTGTACATCACTAGGCCTTTCTTCCAAGGTGACAGTAAGTGGACTCGAACTACTACCTGCCTGTTCAGCAGTGAGCATGATAGAAGCATCATTCAGGTAACCAGCCTTCCCATAGGGGAGGCCTGGCTGGATTCATTTCAGGCCAGTATCCCGCCTGTACAGCCACCGCCACCTCGCCAGTGGAGGCTCGCATGTTACTGCGATGCTGAACAGATTGCAGCAGAGCTTCTGGACTATAATGGAGAACTATAGCTTTAAATTAATCTACTTTGTGGTTTTAAGTATTTTACTTAAAATTTTTCTTCTTAAAAAGTGGGAGAGGTGAACTTTGATGGCACTTGGATTTGAAGACGGGCTGTTCCTTGTTTATCCTAAGTATCTAAGGTCTAATGGAGTGCGGTATAACTGTAGGATAAGCACTGGACTTGATAACTATAAAGGTTGATGGCTACAGCCCACCAAGCACTCATCTTGACAAAAAGGCTTTCTGCTTCTCCGAAGATTTACAGCCTTGGAAATCCTTTTACAGGCTCACTGTGAGTTGGAATGACCTCCACAGCATGCAACAACAACTAAGGTCTAATAGAGTGTCTGGCACACATAATGCTAAACAAAAGTTTGTTGAGGGAGTGGATGAATGAATGATTTACCCTTTCTAAATTTTATGTACTCTGTTACCTGAAAGGCTCTCCTCACAATGTTGAGTTTTTTTTGGATCATTCTGGAGAACTCCACAATTTCCATGTCAGCGGTGTCAGCAATCACTTGGTGGGTGAATGTGAGGGTGTCTATGGAGATTCCATGGTATCTTCCATAGTCTTGAAGTACAGCAGTAAGAAAACCTTCAGAGAGAAACACCAACAATTCCTGTGAGTCTAAGGCATGTGCACTCCCTCAACATTTGCATACGTCAGGGGAAGGTGTGGGAAGAATGGAATGGACCGGACCCATGTAGAAGCAAGTCAGGAAAAGAAAGAGGAGGGTAGAGATAATGTGAGACCGTATTGGGTGGGAAGAGAGCCCACCTAACTTGGGCCTTGGCGATAGGCGTTGGGCTGGCTGCAGTAATTTGTGTGAATGCAGGTGGTTTTTGTAGGGCCAACACCCCCAGCCCTTATTCCTTTTGGGTACAGAGAGGATATAAATCCCAGGGCCTTATCTACCTCTGACCCAGTATTGGCAGATCTTAGTCTCTCATTATCTTGGCAACAAATGATGATACTAGAGGCAAATATGAGAAAATTTTGAAAACTTCACGAGAAAATTCCTTCTCTTCCAATTCCATTTTTCCCACTAACTTTTTTTGAAGTCCCCTTGTACAAAATACAAGTGAGGTAATCAGAATCTTTCTCAAGAAATGAAATAGTCCTGGACCAGATGACTGGATGATCAGAGCTCAACCAGGAGAAGAAAGAAGAGGAAAAAAAGAGTGATCTGATACAATTTGATGAACTTGACCTACACCTACGGATGCAGTGACTCAAAAGAGGGAACAAATCCTTACAGCAAGAAACATTCCCACCCCTCCACACACAGAGTAGACAGAGGTGGGCAACTTGGACATTGGATACCCAAATTGGGGGGGGGGGAGGGGACTACAAAGGCAAGAAGTGACAGGCTTACAAGCTTTCAAGAGGGAACCTAGAGCTAGGGGGCATGGAGGAAGGCAGAATCTCCAGTGAGTACTATCCAATCTGTCTAGGCGGAGGTGATGAAATACAGATGGGTCACTTGTGATACTATAGTGAATAATTGTTATCAGGACTGATTATGAGGGTTGGAAATGTAAAGGCAGACATTTTTTAGCAAGGAATGGAGTGATTAATTCTCCAGTCTTGGAGCAGAGGTCTCTAGGACCATCAACAGAGAAGAGCCCAGAGCAGGTCCCTACCCAGAGAAGCAGAGATGCCTGAGATAGAGACAGAGACGATGACGTGAAGTGAGGAAGCGGCTGGGGACTGTGGATCCAGAGAGGGAGAGGGACTGTGTGCTGAAGACTGGGGAGGGAGGGGGGAGTGTAGGGGAAGGGTTTGTAGGGTATATACCCTTTGGTCGATTGATGATGCATGGAGGGGATTGAAACCATGGCAATGAAATGATATATGATAGAATGAATGTAAAACTAAAGTTTTCTCATATAAACTAACATATAATTCACAATAAAACATTAAAAAAAATGAAATAGGGACATTGGAGAAGGCAGGCTCTTTGTGTTGCTCACCTGCTGATGGCAATTAGTCTCCCTGTTAGGTGCTGTTGAGTCAATTCTAACTCATATTGACCCTATGCACAACAGAACGGTTCTGTCTGGCTGCATGGAAAAAGGCTAATGTGCGGTAGGAAAAAAAATGAAGCCAAAGTATCGTGGGAAGCAGAGCTGAGGTATGAGGAGGCAAGCTGAGAGTAACACTGATTCATCCACCTGGAAGCCAGCCATGCCTGAAGTTAAAACCCTTGACTTCCTTCCCACTTCTTTGAACCTATAAACATGTCTTGTTTTGTAAAAACAAATTTGGATTGCATTTCTAGATCTTGTAGTTGTTAAAGTTGAGTTGACTGACTCCTTGTGACCTTCTAACAGAAAAGAAATGTTGGGTCCTACACCATCTCCATGATCTTTGATATGTTTGAGCTCACTGCTGAGAAAATTGTCATTCCCTCTCATTGAGGGTTTCCGTCATTTTTGTTGACTCTTTACCAAGCATGATATTCTTTTCTAGCAACCAGTGATGACGTAACCAAAGTCAGCAAGATGAATTCTCACCATCTTTGCTTCTAAGAAGCATTCTGGCTATTATTTCTTCTAAGATTAATTGGTTCATTCTCTTGAAGTCTCAATATTCTTCACAAACACCACAGTTGGAATCCATTTGCCTTCTTTTTCATTGTCCAGATTTCACATGTATATGAGGCGAATGAAAAGACCATGGGTCAGGTGCATCTTAGACAGCAAAGTGATACTTTTGCTTTTTAGAGCTTTAAAAAGGTCTTTCAAAAAGATTTGCCCAATGTTGCTTCCATGGGCCTTGATTGTTGATCCAAGTAGAATGAAATTCTTGACAACTAAAAATTTTTTCCACTTACTATGATGTTGTTTTGCATTGTGAGGATTTCTGTTTTATTCAGATTCAGGTATTAATCCATAGTAGTCAGTTTATCAATATGCGTTAAGTAATTTTCATTTTCCACAAGCAAGATGCTTTGTCTGCACATCGCAGGTTGTTAATGAGCCTTCCTCCAATTCTGATGCCATGTTTTCTTAATATTATAGTATAATAATCTCAGATTATTTGCTCAGCATATAGAATGAAATAATGGTGAAAGGATAGAACCCTGACACAATTTTCCTGAATTTAAACTGTGCAGAAACTGCGTTCTGTTCAAATGACCGTCTCTTGGTTATGGGTAGATTCCTCCTGAACACAATTGTTCTGGAGTTCCCTTTTTTTTTTGTAATGTTATCCACAGTTTGCTATGATCCACACAATCAAATGCCTTTTCATAGTCAATAAAACACAGGTAAACATCTTTCTGGTATTTTCTGCTTTTAACCAAGATACATCTGAAATCAGCAGTGATATTCCTCATTCCACATCCTCTTTTGAATCCAGCTTGACCTTCTGGCAATTCCTTGTTGATGTCTGACTTCAATAATTGTTGAGTTCTCTTCAGCATGTGGTAATGGGCACGGACATGGATCTCTAACACATGTCTTAACTGCTCTCCTCTTTCGACCAGCTCCTTTTAACCTTATCTGCATAAATTTCCAGATTGGTCACTTCATCCCACTTGTTGTCATGTAATGCCCTTGTCCAGAATCCACCATGTCAGTGCTCATAGAATTAAGTTCAATCTCCTCAGTTGGGCAACTGAAGTCCCCTTACCCTGTCCCATCCTGTGTCTCTGTTCTGCTGTGACATGAGAGTTTTCATTCAGACAATGCAGTTTCGTGATGATATTTTTGCTCATGCCATTGCCTGGGATTTCTCCATTTCCCTGAGAACTCTTCAAGGCCAAAGATGCCAGAAGTGACCCTGCCCTCCTTTAGCATGGGTTTCAGGTTTCAGGAGGACAGGCTACTACTTACCATTGAGTCGATTCTGATTCATGACAACTCCACATGTGAGAGTAGAATTGTACTCCATAAGGTTTTCAATGGATGAGTTTTTAAAGAAGTAGAACACCTGGCTTTTCTCTGGGTAGACTTGAAAATCCAACCTTTTGGTTAGCAGCTGAGCGTATTAACTTAGCACCACCCAAGGACTTCAGGAAGACAAGTCCTGGGCTTTAATAATCTTAGGGCCTGTGGCAGGCACATGCGGGCGTCAACTGAGGTGTTCAGTGGTCGCTGACCACCCTTTCTCTCTAGCCTGGACTGCCTCCTGAGCTCTAGAACCATACAGCTAACTGTTTACCAGACACTTACTTGAGCATCTCAGTACCTCAACAGGACTATCATCTCAAAATCAAGAGGACTATCATTTGACGCCTCTCATCACTGTTTTCCTCTTCCTGTGTTCCCTATTTCAGGAAATAAAACCATCCACTCAACTCAGCTTTACAAGTCATGCTTAACGCTTCTCTCCCTCTCACACACCCTATCCCATCTTTTAAAAAATGGGGTCCAGCTCCATTATGCTGTGTCCTAAATGTCCTCAACTCTACCACTATCCCCAGACTCCAATTATTATCATCAGTTGCCTGGAGAATAAAGCAATCTGATACGTCACCTCCCAGACGCTCTTGCCTTCCCCAATCTATCCTTGCCTTCTACCAGACTAAAACCATTGCATCATGACATCTCTTGCCTAAAACACTTTGATGGTTTCTCATTGTCCCAGGATGAAGTCAATCCCCTTAGTGTCTTTACACAGTCCCCAGGAACCGCTCATGACTCTATTTCCAGCTTCATCCTACGTCATTCTTCCTCTTGGCTCCTTTCACTCTGACCACAGTGAACGCTTGGGTTCTCTAATGTGGCTTTCTCTCTCATCTCTGGACCTTTGAATGGAATTCTTTCCAGTGAGAATGCTATTCCTAGTTTAGTGTAGTGGTTATGCACATGAATTTTTAGGTCAGATAGTCTGAGTTCAAATTTTCACTCAGTCACTTAGTAGTTTTATGACTTTGAAAAAATTAGTTAACAACTCTGTGCCAAATAGGGATAATAGCAGTAACAACCTCATTAGATTGTCATGGGAACTGAATGACTTAATATATACAAAGTCCTTAACAGTACTATGGTACTGTTGTTAGGTGCTATCAGGTTGGTTCCAACTTACAGAGACTCTATGGAACTAGATACTGTCCAGTCCTGTGCCACCCTCAGTTGCAGGCACTGTGTCAGTCCTTCTCAATGAGGGTCTTCCTCTTTTTTGCTGACCCTCCACTTTACCAAGCATGATGTTCTTTTCCAGGGACTTGTCCCTCCAGATACCATGTCCAAAGTAAGTGCGATGAAATCTCACCATCCTTGCTTCTAAGAACATTCTGGGTGTACTTCTTCGGGCAGTCTATGGTATATTCAGTACTCTTCATAATTCAAATGAGTCAACTCCATAATTCAAATGAATCAATTCTCCAGTCTTCTCTATTCATTGGCTGGCTTTTGCATGTAGTACATGAGATATTTGAAAATACCATGGCTTGGGTCAGGCACATTTACATCCTCAGAGTGGCATCTTTGTCCAGTGCATTATGCCATTTAGTTTCTTGACAGCTGCTTCCATCATAGTTGACTGTGGATCCAAGTAAAATGAAATCCTTGACCACTTCAATGTTTTCTCTGTTTGTTATGATTTTACTTACTGGTCCATTTGAGAGGAAATTTATTTTCTTTATGTCAAGGTGTAATCCATGGTAAGGCTGTACTCTTTGATCTTCACTAGGAGTGCTTCAAGTCATCTCCACTTCGGCATGCAAGGTTGTGTTATGTGCATATCGCAGGTTGCAATTCTGATGTAGCATCTTCTTCATATCATCCAGCTTCTCAGATTATTGGGGCACAGATAGTCCTTGGCATCTAATCAATATAATGCAAGTATTTGCTGCTCTCTTCTCCTTCTATACCCATATGTCCCTGTCTGAAGAATACTTAACTGGTGACATGCTTCAAGTCTCATTTTGGAAGTTGCTTCCCTAGTGGTCTTTCCTCATCCTTAGTTTAGGGTACCTTATTTTATGTTTCACAACCACAATTCATCCATATATTCTTTCAGAAAGTCATTTATTCTTCAAATATTTATTGATAGTTTTTTGATGCTGTGGGTTGGAATAGGTACTAGGGAGTGAAAACAGACTTTATGGGTTTTCCCTTTACAATCCTAAAATATTCTTGTTAGATATCTTTCTTTCTGACTGGACATATGTAGGTGGGACCCAGATCCCAGCAAGCATTCAATCATGAATTCCTTCTTAAATGAATGAAAATAGTTGAAACACGGAATCAATCCCTTGGGTAAGATGCCCATCTACAGGCGTTCCCTGGGGAGGGGTCTAGTGTCAGACTTTGACATCATACCATAGACTGATTATAGAGACGATGAAGTCTGTCACCTACCAAGGTTCAAGTGAGCTGTGACCAGGATGGGTTTGTTTTGGAGTGTGGGGATATGGGTGGCAGGGGGAGGAGACACTGTACTAGTACAGCATCAGGTCCTAGTGTACAAGGGACCTGGGAAGGACATAGGTATTATGATCTGGGCTTGTCCTAAAGGGAGGACAGGCAGAATGTGGCAGAGGGCCCACTACAACCTTGTCTGGGTAGGTAGGGGGCTCATATCTTGTTCTAATACTCACCTTCTGGAAAGAAGAAGGCTGGGAGCCAGTATTTTGCAGGAAAGCCTTCAAAGAAATCATTTTCAGCAGGGTGTTTGGATTTTGGGTTAACTGATGGAATGGACTGCTTCCACGCTGTGAGAAATCTCATATACCTATTGGAAAGCAGAACACAATTTGGATTGGTTACAGGAGTCCTAGTTAAAACACTAGTCTGCAAAGCCATTTGAACTGCAAGGTAGGCAGCTCAAGTTCACCAGTTGCTCCTCAGAAACCCTATACAAGGTCACTATGGGTCAGAATCGACTCGACGGCACTTAACAACAACAACTGGCATACTAACCGCAAACTTTCAGATGTTCTGGCAAATTCCCTTCAGTTCCTCCTAGTTTTTCTTTTTTCCTTTTCATCTCCCCCAGCTCAGGAACCTTGTCCTCTAATATGGAAACCACACATGACTTTGAAGCTTGTGAGGGAAAACAGGAAACCACAAATCACTGGAATGCAATGGATTTAGGTAACAAGAAATGTTGGTATTATAATGCCTAGTCTTTGCTGAATTCCACAGATTTTTGAATTGCTAACTTTCTCTTATGTACATGGAGTCCTAGTGTGGTGCTGTAGGACAACCACTTGACCATAAAGCCAATTTGAACTGCAAGGTTGGTGGTTCAAACTCAACAGCTGCTCCTCAGAAACTCTCTACAGGGTCCTTATGGACCAGAACTGACTTGATGGCAACAACATATATATGTATATTGCTGTTGCCATCAAGTCAGTATTTGATGTATACACATACATGTATTTGTTGTTGCTGTTAAGTGCCATCAAGTTGGTTCCAACCCATAGTGACCCTGTGTAGGGTTTCCAAGGAGTGGCTGGTGAACTTGAACTGCCGAACTTATGGTTCAAACCGACTTTGCAGTCCAGCGTATTAACCCACAGTGCCACACCAGGGTCTGTGTATATGTATATGGGTCAGATTCTGTATTTGTTCTGTTTGGAGCATTCACTTACAGGCCAGTGGCATGAGAGGTAGTGTCGCACAGACTTTGGAATCAGAATTTTTGGGTTCAAAATCAAAACTTCTGCTTTCTAGTTGTGAAAAGATGGCCAAGTAATTTCATATCTTCATACCTCGGTTTTCTCATCTCTAAAATGGGGATTATAATGTTGATAATTCCTACTTCATATTGTTGTTGTTGTGTGCTGTTGAGTTGGTGCTGACTCATAGCAACATTATATAGGATTTCTGAGGAGTGGCGGGGAGGTTTGGACCGCCAACCTTGTGGTTAGCTGTTTAGCGCCACACCATGTTATTGTTGTTGTTAAGTGCTGTCAAGTCTGTTCTGACTCATAATGACCTTGTATAGGGTTTCTGAGGAGCGGTTGGCGAACACCAACTCTGCAGTTCAAACTAACCTTGAGGTCGACTGCTTATCCTATGGCACCACACAAGGACTCCCATAGCATAGGCTAACTATGAGAATTAAGTAAGTTAGCATGAGTCAGCACTGAGAAAAATATTCAACATACTGTGAGCACTCATTAAATTTTAGCTACTGCCTCTAAAACTGTTGCGTATTGTGACTAAATTTGAACAATTAGATGTAAGTGGTTTTTCTTTTCTTTGAAATTCCCCCCGCTGGTATTCTCAATCCAGAAGAAATGGAAGGGAAATGGATTAGGTTCTAGACCTATCTCTGTCACTTAAAGCATAAAGACCTTGCATGAGACTCAGTATGTTTTTACCCTAAGTTGAAAGAAGAATCCCTCCCTGGAAAACCAGAGGCCAAGAAGGTAAAACTATGTCATAAACTAGTAAGCTTTAAGCAAACAGGAAGAACTATAAAGCAGCTTCCATCCATACCTGCGATGTATTGCAGTGTAAGCCACTTTAGCCCAGGTATTGAAGAAATTCAGTCTCTGGATGAGATCGTTAACCCAGGAACTCAGGGGCTTACATGACTTGTAGGAGTGTTTCTGTTGGAATTTAGAAACAAGCACATGATGATTTTAGATTTGTCTTTGTGACCATTAGGAACATATTAGAAACTTCTGTTAACAGGCTCAACTTCCAGGGAGAAGGAACTTGGCCAGAGGGTGTCATTTGTCATTTTCCAACTGAAAGTACATAATGAGAAATCTGACAATTATTACCAAAGCAAAACAGCGCTATCTTGACAATGCTTTGGAGAAAACGTTTGGAAGTTTCCATCCTGGCTGAGGTTTTCATCACTCTTCTTTTGTGCCTTTTTGCCATCCCTCCTCAAACCTGCCCCTCCCCTCTACAGATGACTACAACTTGACAATGGTGAACTTTGTGACCTTGACAAATGTGACCCTAGAACACATGTAAAGATTAAGATGTCCCTCTGCCCTTTTACGTCCCAGGTGATGGCATACTGCAAAAAAACATCCTTTTCCATATGACTTTGTAGACGACTCAGTGATGCCCCTTGTTTACCTATTACAAGGTCCTTTTTTTTTTTAATGTTTTATTGTGAATTATATGATAGTTTACATGGGAGAACTTTAGCTTTACATTCATTCCATCTTATATCATCTCACTGCCATGGTTCCAATTCCCTTCATGCATCATCAACCACCCAAAGGGTATATCCCAGAAACCCGCCCCCTACAAAACCCACTCCTCCCCCCAGTTTTCGGCCCACAGTCCCTTTCCCTCTCTGGGTCCAAGGTCTCTCCAGTCGCTTCATCACTCCACGTCATCATCTCTG